ATAAATGACCTTAGAGGGCCACATCTGGCCTGTGGCTTGTAGTTTGAGAACTCCTGGTATAGAGGCATGCTCTGATATACAAATGGAGATGATTCTTGGCAGCTGGAGGTATATTTTGTGCTTTTGCAAGTAACTGTTAATTTTGCAACTATCAAAAAACACACATTTCAAACTTCAGCAGTTCAGATTTTGTTTAGGGAAAGACCCTGGAAAACTTTAATTCAGTCTGCTGTGTTGAGGTCACTAAATTCTATGAAAGCCATAGTGTTTTTTGTTACATCTCACTGTCAAGAGTGACTCTCTTTCTCTGATAGTTTTGTGCCAAAGTTCCACTTGTAGTCCTGATCAAGTTTTGGAGAGGGGATCCCATTACATAAATGGGGGATGATATAAATTGAATAGAGAATTTTCTAAAACTACTGTAAATGTTCATGTATAAGCCGACTTCATGTATAAGTTAAGGGTGGCTTTTGAGGCTTACAGTGTTGATTTTGATATGCCCCATGGATAAGTCAAGGGCCATTCTGGGTGAGCATAAAATAAACACTAGCCTCCTCTAGTCTTTCAGCTCTTCTTTGAGGGGAGGCACCAAAGAACTGTCACTGTCATTTTCACACCTAGACATTCAAAAAGACCAGAAACAGGTGACTATGCTTCTTTTAGTTTCTCCCGAGACAGAGTAAGCACTTGCCCTTTGCCACTCTATTCAGAGTAGTGAATGGCTCCTCTATTGATGAAAGGTAAGGTACTATACCTATTGACCAATGGATTGATTGACCCAGAATTTTTGAGTTTATTATTTGATTTAATTTTCTAGGCTTATACATGAATGTATACCATAAAAAATCTGCAGAATTTAAATTCAACACTCAAATGTGTGTGCATATAGAGGATGCATTTTTATATATAATAGTACAACTGGTTAATCAGCTGCAATAAATCACTGCCGACTGAAAGGTGGCAATTTCGAAGCCCGAGTCGTGTCTGAGCAACCGCCTGTTAATAGCTGTTGAAAAAAAAAGCTGTTAAAAGAATTTTCCCAACTCACTGTCGACCTAAGCACAGTTGTGAGCTGTGAGTAAAGGAATTAGAGACCGCTTAAAGCAGGGAGGCTAATTTATGCCACCATAAAAATACCGGAAAGCAAGGAGGAAATACTACAACCAAAAAGGCTTGGCGTCATAGTGGACGAAGTGACAGCTCCCCTGTGTGAATCGAGCAACCTCCAGGATCTGAAGTGGAAAAACTGCTGAATGACCTCTATCTGTCTGTATGTCTTGTATGTCAGAAATGGCATTGAATGTTTGCTGTGTATATTGTGATCCACCCTGAGTCCCCTTGAGAAGGGTGGAATATAAATACTATAAATAAATACATTTATTTACTGGGGTTGGGATGCTAAAAGCTTTGGGATTTTTTAATAGCAGGCTTCTCTTTAGACCCTAAACAAAACACATGCTTTGTCTATTTTTCTGTAATGAAAAACACTTTCCTAAAGCGAGGAAATGTTAAATACAATAGGTAAGAATGGTCTCCCAGCAAAGAGGTGAAAAGACGTTGAAGGGTCATGTCTGGGTCAGAATATCCCATGAGACCATTAAGCTGGCATCTAGCCTACATAAGAGATAAGAGTTCTGGGCATCTGAGGTTAGCTTTACCAGGGGTACAGTAATAGTATTGTGGTCGTAGTGGACTCAGAGTAGCATGCCTAAATATTACAGTTTTTATTCTGAGTCCACTGAAGCATTTCTTTTGTAAAAATCTTTAAATGTTTCCCCCCTTGTATTGTGGAAGACGAATGAGCTGAAATGGTATCCAGCTGTGTTAATTGTTGGCAGCTCTATATCAACTCCCTTTGGAAAAGCAGGGAGCAGAAACACAGCCTCGTATGGCGGAAAGAACGATGAACACTACCGCTGTCAAGAAATCGATGTCTATTTTTCCTAGAGGTGGAACAAATAATCCTGATATGGGATACAAAATGGGAGCCATAGGTGGGGAGTAAATTTCCAGAGCTGGACAAGGAGCTAGCCTAAGCAAGGGTGGATTGTTGGAAGAAAAAAAAATCAATCACTTGTGAGTAAATTGCCGATTTATGAGTAAATTACTCAAACCTGTGCTGATTCAAATTTGGGATATGGGCATGTCTAAAGGATGCTTTTTATGGCAGTCCTGCTCACCATTCCGAAAGTATATATTGGGCAAGTGCCGCCATTCTCTCATTTTTTCTTTCTTTCCACCACATAAGTAGCAGAGAAAAAACCTTTACCTGTAGTCTCATTATCTGTTAAGCTTCCTGTTAGCTTGACTTAGTGTGTTATTAGCATGTTCCAGCGTACTTCTTTAAGTTTCAATCTATCTGGATTTGGAGAAGCATGCTGCAGTGTGTTAGCTGCAAGGCTAAGATTCCTAACATCTTGGGTAGTGTAGACAAGCCCTGGGTTGCTGTACTAAATAGAATTGGTGCAAAGGGCCCAAAAAGTACCCTATTTACTCAAATCTAATGCTTACCTTTTTTGGCTAAATTACTTAGGGTGCGCATTAGATTTGTGTAATATGTTAATCTTAGGGTTTACAGACATAGCTGGAAAAAATAGGTGAAAACAGTGGAAATCATCTTCTTTGCATAGGATTTTAAAAGATAGAGAATTTACTTCCCCCATAACACGGGATCGCCTCTTCCCGCCCCTTGCTCTGTCAGGATGCCAGGACTCTGCCTTATTCAAGTAGAGATGAACCAAACAATCACCCAGTTTGTGTTAAACAATTTAATTAAAGTAGCACTTACTTTCTGGCTGTTTTAATGGTCCAAAACATAAAAACATATAGTACTCAGCCACAGAATATAAAACAAAACTGACAGCAAACGCTGTTGCTGGTTCAGGATAACACCATAGTCAAAAGGTCTAGTCCAGTGGTCAAACGCCGAGAGTTCAATGAGCAAAGTCCAGGGATCAACCTCCTTGAATTGCCGAGAAGCTGAGAAAGGCGGTATACAAACGCAATAAATAAATAAGTAATAAGAGTCTATACCCTAGTCAAAAGCCACTCCAAAGATTCAAGGTTCCAATGGTTCAAGAGACAAGCCAGGATACCAAAAATCCACAAACCTGGGGGAAAACCAGCAGCATCTACCACCAAAATAAGACAAATACTTTTCTTCCAAAAATCAGTCCCAAGGCTAGCTCCTTATATTCAGAAACACCCAGTTGCAACCCATATCTTGCATACCTCTACCCTTAATTGCTTTCACCCATGAACTCTTACTTACAGATTACTCAACCCTTTAAAACTAAGACTTACATTAACCCTTCCATCACCAACTGCTAGGCCTGCCACCACCAACCACCATCAACTGCAGAACATGATATATGACATTCTCAACCAACCATAGAAGAGATGCAAGACATTATTCACAAATTTGATTCATACCTTCTCTCTAGGAATCTTAAAGTTCTCCAGTGCAATTCAGTGGTCAACTTCCATCAGAAATTGGAAGGCAGTGGAATTTGACTGTAGAGTCATGCTTGTAGACTTAGAGATTTCTAGAGATATACTGTTAGGTTAAAAAAATAGGTTTTTTATTCAAGGTTCTCTCACTTTGGCAGGAATCACACTCCTCTAATCCCACAAAAGTGGGAGGGATTGTTGTACCATAATTCTATAGCGCAAAAGGGCTTTTAGTGGTAGTCTAAGTCCTTGTTTTGGGACAAACCTCCTTACATGTTTTGGGTCAAGAGAACAGTAGACTCAAGTAACAGTTTGGGCAATGACTTCGCCTTAGGGTCACCATAGGTCAGAAAGTACTTGAAGGCACACAACTACAAGCTTGCAAGAATGTGTGTCTTTTGTCACCTTAAAATGTTTTCATATGTGACAAACTACTGCTTTTGAGTAAAAATCAACCTACTTTAATAGCGCCCCATCCTTGCAATAACTACAAAATAAACTAAATATAGTTGCGTGTAGATCTGAACTTGCCATTTTCTTTGTTTTGATGGCTTTGCCTTCAGCCAGTTGGTATTTTACTTTCTACCAACATATGATAATTTTTATCTTCGAAGGTTTCCAGCTTGAAAACAATGATTTCTTACCTATCTGGGGAGAGAAATCAAGCCCTCTCCATCACCATGCAAGAACCCTTCTCCTGCTCTTTCCACCTTCATGCCAGGGGATCCATTTCAAAAAAATATATAGTTAAAAAGATAGCCACATTACATGTAGTGATAGCACTCCCTAGTTCCTTTTTGGAGTCTGTTCAGAACAGATAATCTTCTGAGACAGCCTTCCAAATTCGTCTGCACTGTAGATGTATGTGCAGTTCTATTTTCAAGCCCTCTTCCAGTACTCCCTAACATGGAATTTCCTTGTTTTCATTGTTGCACCTACCACATTTATGTTTTGCTTAGGCTCCATGCCATAAACATTTTTTTAATAGGTAGTCAGTTCCAACACAAAATCTGTCAATGTCTCTATGGCTAGGATTTGTTTTTTGAGAGGTAAGCATTGTTTTCTACCTGTATTTCATCCTTTCATTTTATTTCGTATCAAAATATTGCATAAATTAGTATAAAACCGATAAAAATAGAAGGATCGCAGGTGGCTAAATATCTTTTGACCAAAAATGGGCAACAGGAATGGCATTGTCTGTAGCCTCCAACAATTCTTCCTCTGTAAATGAGGCAGGGCATAGTGGGCAAGCATACAATTCTGCTCCACAGTCACACAAGGTGTGGGATTCTTTTTAGGTAGTGCCATTTTGCCAGGTTGTCTTTTGATATCGTGCCATTATAAAAAACATTACTTGGAGATGAATATTTCATGTATGTGATGTTTATACCAGTTGTCCTGGATCCAGAGTTTTATGCTGGTGCCTCTTGCCCCATCCCTTCAGTACAACATGGGGTGCAGATTGTCTCATAGTGTGATTGTTTCTGGGAGAGAGGAAATTTTCAGGCAGTGCTTGCTAACAAATAATACATTTGTTTTTCCTTTTTCAGTTAGCGGGAGTTGCCTTCCTAGGAGCTGGTCTTTGGGCCTGGAGTGAAAAGGTAAGGCAGTAATGGCATTTGAAATACTAGATCAAATCGAGTCTCTTTTATTGATGTAGTGTGACAGTTCTTCTCTTTGCCTCTCTCTCTGACACACAGATTGTACGCATTGTGTTCATCAGTGGAATGCCTGTAAATACATTCTAATTTCTTCCCTATTCTTCACCCATGCCTATTTTTATAAATTACTGCAAAACCATATTTCCATTTAGGTGATGCCAAGAGATTTGATATACAGCCTTATGCTGTCTTCTCAGAAATAAATCCTTATAAGTTCAATGAGACTAATTCCCAGGTAGGTTCCCCAAAATTGCAGTCTCATATACATTTACTTTGAAGTAAATCTTGTTGAACTTGGCTGGATCTATCTCTGAGGAGATGTATAGGAATGCGCTGCCTGGCATTTAGTAGGAACAAGAAAGCCATGCTTGGCCTCTTGCCCAGTCTGTGCTGTGGATTTCAATCTCCATAAAATCCTCATTATATTTTTCTTTTGCATCATGTGACTGTTGCTGAAACGGCATAGAGCCTTTCCCTTGAAAAGCAATATCCCTGCAGCACAATGGTTGAGGTTATACTGATATGGATTCCCTTTCTTTGTATCCAACTGAGTAGTTTTACCTCATGTTCCCATCCTTTTTATATCTTGTGATGCTGAAAAATATACCTGAAAGTCTCTGGGGTGATGTTTCGAGATCAAGATTGTAAAAATTAAGATAATAACTGAGCCACAATTAAGGCGGATTGTTCAAACAGAAATCTTGTACCGATCTGGGAGATTTATCCAACTGATTAGGAGTGGGTTGATGAAAGACAAACCGAAGATCATGCTTAGGTCCAGATGTAAGAGTTTGCCTCCCTCCCAACTGTCATTGCCCTGACCTTAGAAAGAGAGAAGAAAAGTTTTTGAACTAAAACTTCTCGAAGCTCAGACACCATCTTCAGAGACGATGCTGATGGAAACAGCTTTTCAAAACTGTTGTTGTATTGTCGAAGGCTTTCATGGCTGGAATCACTAGGTTCTTGTAGGTTTTTTCGGGCTATAGGGCCATGTTCTAGAGGCATTTCTCCTGACGTTTCGCCTGCATCTATGGCAAGCATCCTCAGAGGTAGTGAGGTAGTCTAGTTTATTTTTATTTTTAGTCTCTTGAGAGCATGACTTAAATCAAGATGTTTTAAGGAAGAGTTGATTTTTTTGGGCAACTGTAAAAACACTTCTGAAGCTCTGCTATATATAATTGTACATTGGCATATCTTTGTCTCTAACAGTTCAAAGAAATATCTATCTAGGTGTATCAGTCTAATAGCTGAGAAACCTCATTGCTTTGTGTGAATGCTGGTGGATATTTACCATTATGGAGAAGTCAGTTTTTAACTCTTCTCAGGGAGATTCCTGATTATACTAAAAAGTTATGGTGAATGCCATTTTCCAAAAGGTGATGGAGATTTCAATTTCCCAAAAGGTTATGGCATCATTTTTCTAAAATTCCATACATAATGTGTATCTCTGTTATGTATCATCAGAAAGAACTGCATTCTGCTGATAGCTGGTAGTTTAGATTCACCACTTGCTTGGAGGATTCATTACACTAATGTTGTCTGGCAAAAGTTCAACTGAATTTGAAATTGTTTTTCAACTTGTGGAACATAGGAATTGCTACTGAAGTGATTTATTATTAATATAGATTGAACAGATACAGCTACAAATGGTTGTGCAAAGCTTTGAAGATATTTTCCTTCTGCCCACTTTGTTGGATCCAATACTTGCCTGCACATGTTTAAATCACATTCTTCCTTCCTTAACATCTATCAACATGTCCAGCTTATTTTTTGAATTGATAAGAATTTTATTGCTTTCTCATGCATTTTGATAGCTGGCACTTTGAGTTTTAAAAGAAAATGCAAGGTTGATGCCAAAGTATATACTTCTGATAAATACCATTCCTGTGAAACAGCTTATCTTTGGTGTTCGGAAACAATTTTTGAAATACTTAACCGCTTGTCACACACACACACACATAGCGTATGCTTTTCTTCCAAATTTTAAAAATGATATTCTAAGGCAGGGGTCCTCAAAGTTTTTAAACAGAGGGCCAGGTCATAGTCCCTCAAACTGTTGGAGGGCCGGATTATAATTTGAAAAAAAATGAATGAATTCCTATGCACACTGCACATATGTTATTTGTCGTGCAAAAAACACTTAAAAACAATAAAATAATTAAAATGAACAATTTTAAGAAATATAAACTTATTAGTATTTCAATGGGAAGTGTGGGCCTGCTTTTGGCTGATGAGATAGGATTGTTGTTGTTGTTGTTATGTGCTTTCAAGTCATTTCAGACTTAGGTTGACCATGAGCGAGGGACGAGTAAATGATCTTGGAGGGCCATATCCGGCCCCCGGCACTTAGTTTGAGGACCCCTGTTCTAAGGGAATGTGTTTGAACAGACCATATAGGAACACTTTCTGAAATATAAATACAAATAGGCTCTTGGTGCAGTTTGAATGTAATAGTATGCAAGTAGCTGCTAATTCTACCTTGAAATATAGGAAATTGCTCCTTTAGTAGCTACACACAACCCGACAGCTTCCTGCTACATTGAACTACATTTCCCAGCCGGCAGGAAAAATACTCAAAACAATTTTTAAAAAACCACTCAAGTACAGCAAAGCAAAGTAATTGCAAAAGTGTGAATATATAACTAGAGCTTCTGAATGTATGCAAAACATGGAGCTTCTGAATGTATGCAAAACATGGATAGGGATTGAAATGAATACCAAATTAAGTACAATATGAGAAGTAATCATTGTGTTACAAAAACGTAATGTGGAACGATAAACTAAATGAATTGTAAGCAATGAACCACTCTCAAAACATTTGCAAGAAATGGATGCAGATTAATAGATAATAAATAGACAGAGGTAGTAAAAATCAAATTATATGACATCAGTGAGGAATAACAGGTATAAGGAATTGTAGGTATTATATCCTATTTCAAAATATGTTCCTCTGTAAAATCCCCTGACACTGCCAATTGTGAGAGAAATTTGCTAGTAGCTTAAAAACTTTAAATGATGTGAGTATAGAGTTGGGAAAGAATTGCCCTCAAGATCTTCAAAAATGAGAATCTATTTCAATGCCAAACTGGCTATCTTTGGTTTACTTGGTTGTTGTGAGTTTTCTAGGCTCACAGCAACCCAGTGATTCTGGCTATGAAAGCCTTCAACAAAACTTTGGTTTACTTGTTAATCATTAGATAAATCATGTTTTAATTTACATTGTGCTGCATGAAGACATTGTTTTGGACTATAAATCCCATAATCCTGTCCAGGATATCCGTGCTGGCTGAGGATGAAGGAAGTACTGGTTTTGGAAAGCCTAAGCTTGTCACAAAATAAGGGCAAATTGAAATAAAAAGCAGACCACTTCTCTCTGACATATTAGTGCCATCTGGTGGAAGTCTGTTTTGACTACAATATCCTCAGATGGGCTGCAAAGTGGATATTTTAAGGGCATTTTTATCACAATTTTAGTTCTTACAGATGATGCCTTTCCTAGTTCCCCTAGCCATTTACTGCCCTAGTCCACATGTTTCCAAGCATGTTGATGACAGTTACATTTTAGGCGTTTAAATATAAAGATTTGAATGTATTGCTAGGATTCTTACTCAAACCCTTTTCTTCCTTCTGAATGCACCCATTCATCCCCATGCATTTTTAAGCACATTTCCGAGGTCATGAGAATTAGCAAATTGCATTATGATTCACATTTATTTTTAAAAAGAAAATGAGTCAACTCATGCTCTCAGGAAATTCTGTCTACTAGCAAACACATTTCTGTGGAAACATGTTAAAGACTTTGAATAGTTTTTAACATGCTTGAAATATTTGGGATTACCTTTATAAATGGAGCAGATCTTCATCTTTGTCCTTTTTGTTTCTTTTAGGGCGTGTTGTCAGACTTATCCAAAATGACACGACTCCATGGCTTTGATCCAGTGGTGCTTATTTTGTTTGTTGGCGGGATAATGTTCATTCTCGGATTTGCTGGCTGTGTAGGAGCCCTGCGGGAGAACATCTGCCTTCTGAAATTTGTAAGTTGTTGGATTGTGGTGTGTCTATTTTATGTCCGACATTTGCTTTGGGAAAAGGTAGGTTGGATGGTGTTGTGAGACTGGAAAATAAAAAGATCGCAGGCCAGAAGTACTATGTCCACATTAGGTTAAATATTGGGCTTGTTATATGTAATACATTAAATGCCAGTTTGAATTCCATCTTGTCTCCTGCCTATGTCATTGGTTGGGAGCCCCCCGAAACCAACTGCTTCTCTGGTCTAGAGTGAAGAGAGAGGGGGGCGGAAGACTGTTCCATCTTGTCTCCTGTGCTTTACTAATAATATAATATAATATATTGTATATACATATAATATTTATAATATTATAATGTAATAGAATATAATATTACTAATAATCTATATAAATAAAAATGTAATGTTCATTTGTGGGATTAACATAACTCAAAAAAGACTGGGTGAATTGACACCAAATTTGGACACAGTATATCTGTCAGGGCAACGAGTGACTATCACTCATAAAAACACTGAAACACTTGCGCAAAACCACATATATACACATATACACAAATATATATACACATATATACACACACAAAACACATATACAGACTGGTCCACAGCAGCGCGTGGCAGGGGATAGCTAATAATACAATATTATAATTATATACCATTATATATTTTATATTACATGTAATATTACTAATAATATTACAATATAATGGTATAGTACAATATAGTAAGGGCCCCCGGTGGCGCAGTGGGTTAAAGCACTGAGCTGCTGAGCTTGTTGACCAAAAGGTCGCAGGTTCGATTCCAGGGAACGGTGTGAGCTTCCGCTGCCAGCCCTAGCTTCTGCCAACCTAGCAGTTCGAAAACATGCAAATGTGAGTAGATCAATAGGTAACGGCGCTCCATGTGGTCATGCTGGCCACATGACCTTGGAGATGTCTATGGACAACGCTGGCTCTTCGGCTTAGAAATGGAGATGAGCACCACACCCCAGAGTCAGACATGACTGGACTTAATGTCAGGGGACAACCTTTACCTTTTACAATATAGTAATATTTAATACTGATATTGTACTATGCTAACAATATATATATTGTATGTATATATCTTGTAAGCCGCTCTGAGTGCCCTTTGGGGTGAGAAGGGCAGCATATAAATGTCGTAAATAAATATATAATAAATAAATTAAGTAGCGAATGAGTTGTACTTTCCAGAAATTGGACTCTGGAAAACTGTGCTAACTTAGCATTAGTTACTGAGACAGAAGCTCTTGAACACCGGGGGGGGGGGGGGGGGGAGACACATCCCCAAACAAACCTCACAGTTCAGATCAACCTGGTATGTGAGTCCTGGAAGATGCCATTTCCTCTGCCTAGCTTTCTTGTTTCTCTGCCAGGTTTGTTGAATTGTGGCATGGCAGCTTACTGCATTTCATAGATTGCTGTAGTGAAAGAGTACACAGCTTTTTCCCCCATAGGGTTGTGTGGGTATGGGTGTCTGTACTGTTGAGCTTTTATTGGTTTGTTTTGTCCAAACTCAGGGTTTTCCGAGCATTGGGCTAGGAGAGGTGACTCTTTCAATTTGGAGATAATTGAGTCAGTTGTAATATCCTCTGGCTATTATTTCAGCTAGCAAATCATCTGGATTAGGCCAAGACAGACTTGTAGTTGGTAAGCTTTACATCACGGATGGAAATAGTGTGGCTTTCCAGATGTTGACCTACAACTCCCAGCATTTATTTATTTATTTATTTATTTATTTATTTACGACATTTATATGCCACCCTTCTCACCCCGAAGGGGACTCAGAGCGGCTTACAAGGTATATATACATACAATATATTATTAACATAGTACAATATCAGTTTTAAATATTGCTATATTGCACTATATCAATTATACTGTAATATTATTAGTAATACTACATGTAATATAAATATATAATTATTATATCATATATGCTGGCAAGGATTACTGGGATTTGCAATTTGGCTACATCTGGAATGTCAACCCTGAGTCACATAATGAAAAATCTTGTTGGCATACTTCACTGGTTTTCCAACTTGTTAGCTTCAGGGAGCCCATTCCATATTGCATCATTTACCAAGGAACTTGGCTATGTCATAGAGGCAGTTGCTACGATACCTATGGGAAACTAGTCAAATGCATGCAGATTGAAAGTGTGTCTGAGAATGTATCAAATGCTTTCATATTCCTGTATAAAGGAGGTTAAAAAGCTGTTTTTGAGAGAAAATTGATTGCGCTACTGAGCTTGTTGAAGAACCCTTAGGAAGTTCTTGAGAAATCTCCCAAGCCCCTGAAATTCAGTTGGAAAACATCTGGCCATTTTTTCTCTTTCCATAATTGATTGTATACCTTTTTGCTTGCAATTTCTTGTCCCTGTTTTACAGTTCTGTGGCACAATTGTACTAATTTTCCTCATGGAGTTGGCGGTGGCTGTTCTGGCATTCCTGTTTCAAGACTGGGTGAGGGATCGAGTGGAGACGTTTTTCAAGAACAATATTAGGTCTTACCGAGATGACATTGACCTGCAGAACCTCATAGATTCATTGCAGAAAATAGTAAGTTATTTTAATAAAGATTTATTGATGTGCCCAGGGGTTGTTAAAACTGTGAAGCATGTTATGCACTGTATCTGTTTGTATACTTTTCTGAGTAAGAGTGGCTTGGGTGAAGAAATAATATTGACAACATAACCGAGGTCAGAGAAAACCGCCAGACTTGAAGTTGGTGACTCTGTCATGCCTTATTTCGGTTTTGCACACCTCTCTCTTTAGCCTGAGGCAGAGGTCAGCAACCAATGGCCTTCAGAATAATTTCATGTAGTCTTTCAAAAAATCTTTCTAATAAGTGGTTCATATTTTTGGCAAAAGCAATCTGTGCTCCCTCTCCTAGCCACCAGTGATACAAAAAGGAAGACATCAGTAGAGGAGAAAAATGTTGAGGGAAGAGAAGAAAAAGAGGGCAGAGAAAAAGCTAGAAAATGCTTTCCTCCTCAATTCTATGCCATTATTTAAGAACTGTGTTCACGGAAGGCTGACGAGAATATAAAATAGTTTGTGACAGTGATGGAGCACATCAGCGTGTTACTCTTGTATATATTAAATCAGGGATGAAGAACATCTGGCCCTCCAAATGTTGTTGAGCTGTAACTTTGCTGAGCTTAAAGGCATTGGTTAGGTATCATAGAAGTTGCAATTAAAGAAAATCTGGAGAACCTCTCTTTACCTATCCCTGCTTCCAAATAACAGTGACACATACACCAATCTCCTACTTGTCAATTTGCTGTTCTGCACACGAGAAACTAGCATGTCAAGCAAGGGTGTTTAGAGAAAGTTTGTCCTTATCTGCTACCTTTTCCACGTGCAAGCACCTACTTCTACGTAAAGGGAATTCAAACATTGGTTCCCCACCTTCATAATGTTTGAATGTTTGCCATTACTTGTTTGGAACTGTCCTGAGTCCCCTTGGGAAGATACGGTGGGAAATAAATAAAGATGATGATGTTGATGATGATGATGATGATGATGATGATGATGATGATGATGATTATTACATATACCTCATATACAGATATGTCACTTGAGCCATATTTCTCTGTATGTCTAATCCTGCTTCTTGGCAGGGGGTTGGACTGCATGGCCCATGAGGTCTCTTCCAACTCTATGATTCTATGATTCTAGTCTCTTTGCATGTAGATCAGTGGTTCTCAACCTGGGGTCCCAAGATGTTTTTGGCCTTCAACTCCCAGAAATCCTAACAGCTGGTAAACTGGCAGGGATTTCTGGGAGTTGTAGGCCAAAAACATCTGGGAACCCCAGGTTGAGAACCACTGATGTAGATCTTCCAGGATGAGTTAAAAGAGAAAAGTGTCCTAATCAGCTATTTAGGAATGTTTTTAAAAGGTTACTGGGTAGCATTGTGCTGTTGATATATAAGTACAAAAGCATGATTTATATGTACCCATGTCTCGTTTTGAATGGGTTCTCTAGCCCCTCTCCAAAACCTTCCCCCAACAACAGTCAGGTCCCAAAAAGGGGCTGCCATTTCTAGTGCTGTTTTGGTGGGGAGAAAAAGACAATTCAAGATTTATTTGTCGTGTCAGGACAACCAGTCAAATTATATTACATTTCTAACATAACAAAGCAAACAAACAGACAAAATACAGAATTTGTGAGTTTGGTAGTTGATTAAATGTCCTTTGATCAGTATCTGGCCACTCGGAGTGCTTCTGGTGTTGCTGCAAGAAGGTCCTCCATTGTGCATGTGGCAGGGCCCAGGTTGCATTGCAGCAGGTGGTCTGTGGTTTGCTCTTCTCCACACTCGCAAGTCGAGGATTCCACTTTGTAGCCCCATTTCTGAAGGTTGGCTCTGCATCTCGTGGTGCCAGAGCACAGTCTGTTCAGCGCCTTCCAAGTCGCCCAGTCCTCTGTGTGCCCAGGGGGGAGTCTCACATTTGGTATCAGCCATTGGTTGAGGTTCTGGGTTTGAGCCTGCCACTTTTGGACTCTCGCTTGCTGAGGTGTTCCAGTGAGTGTTCAAGATACAAGAAGATGTGGGCCCCTCCTAAGCCTAAGAGAGGAAGAAAAAGAGGGCTGCACTCCATCTTTGAGCATAACCTTGTTCAGTGTATTGTCAAAGGCTTTCTTGGCTGGAATCAGTGGGGCGTTGTGTGCTTTCTGGGCTGTATGGCTGTGTTCCAGCAGCATTTTCTCCTGATGTTTCGCTGGCATCCTTTGTAGATGCCAGCCACAGATGCAAGCGAAACATCACAAGAAAATGCTGCTAGAACATGGCCATGCGGCCTGGGAACCACACAACACTCCACTATAACCTTGTTTCGTCCTCTTGCGAGTTGAAGTCATTTGCTGGTTTGCCTCTTCCTCCCCTCCAGTAAGCAGCAGAAGCACCCCTTCCTTTCCACTGCTTGAAATCTCTGGGGTCAGAGGGACAACACAGGACAAAACTTTACACACCACCAGCTCTGTGTAGGAACTCATCCACTGATTTTTTTTTCCTTTTTGAAGAGACTCATATTAAAATGCATGGGGGGTTTATATTGTTGCAGCTGTTATCTTTGTTCTGCTTTTACAGCTATTTAAAACACTTTTTGTTGTTTTGTTGTAGATCTTTTTGTCCCACATGCAGCTGCACCAGCCTAACCAATTAAAACAGAAATAGAGCCGGAATTTGTGTCCTAATTATGCTGAGAATACAGGATGTTTTTTCTAACCGAGGGTAGCCCTCCAGTTCTTTTTGGACTGTACATCTTAGCAGCCCTAGTGAACTTAGGAATAATAAGAGTTGTAGACCAGAAACACCTGAAGGGCTAAATGTTGACTCTGATCTTCATCCATTTAATCTAACAAGACACTGGGATAATTTTTGCAGCCTTTGTTTTTAACAGCACTGGTGTAGTTTGAAACTGCATTGCATGGTCAGTGTAGACCCATATAATGCCGCTTACATGAATTGAACTAAATTATATGAGTTTACACTTGTTATATCCCCATTTCAGTGAATAATTATGGTTTGTTATTATTATTATTATTTTATTTATTATTTATTTATTTAGAACTCCCTCCGATGAGGGACTCAGGCCAGTTTACAACAGAGGAGTTCATACACAATAGTTAAAACATCACATACTATAAAACTCTATATAAAACACGTTAAAATACAATCATATAATTACATAAGGCCAAGTCATCAGGATAAAAATCACAATTCATCACCATCCGTCCGTGTGGTCAAAGGTTATCGACTCACTCATCAAATGCCAGGTTCCAGAGCCAGGTTTTCACCAACTTTCTAAAGGTCAGGAGGGAAGGGGCAGTTCTAATCTCCAATGGGAGAGAGTTCCAGAGCCAAGGGGCCACCACCGAGAAGGTCCTGTCCCTTGTCCCCACCAGACGCGATTGCGAAGGTGGTGGGACCGAGAGCAGGGCCCCTCCAGAAGATTATTGTTGTTGTTGTTGCATTATTATTTGAAACACAACAAGATGAGTTCGCAGCAGACAAGATCACTTTGCTGGCTGTTGTATTGGATCACATGTCAGACACTTCCCAAGTGTCTAGGACTGTGTGATGTATCGGCGAATAATGTGTGCAGATCCCAGTAAGGTGGCTTTCTGCAGCTGGCAGATGGTAATTTTGTCAGCACCGATTATGTTTAAGTGCAGGCCAAGGTCTTTAGGCACTGCACCACTGGGACCACCTTTACTGGCTTGTGCCAGAGTCTTTAAATCCTCATATCATGTCAGCTTTTCCAGTTGTTTCTCCTCAATCCTGTTTTCACCTGGGATAGCAATATCAACGATCCATACTTTGTTTTTTAACACAATCGTGAGATAAGGAGTATTGTGCTCCAAAATTCTGTCAGTCTGAATTCAGAAGTCCCAGAGTAGTTTGACGTTTTCATTTTCTGTAACTTTTTCAGGCTTGTGATCCCACCAGTTCTTTGTCACAGGCAGATGGTATTTGTGGCACTAGTTCCAATGAATCACCTGAGCAACGGTGTTATTCCTCTGCTTGTAGTCTGTTTATTATTATTATTATTATTATTATTATTATTATTATTATTTTCTTTATTTATATCTCACCTTTCACTCTGAGGGGACTCAAGTTGGCTAATAACCACACACTTCAATTAATTTAAATACACCTGGGCATTCCTCTTTCTGTTCTAGCAGGGAGTGATTTTATTTCTTTTACAGAATCAGTGTTGTGGTGCCCAGGATCCAAATGATTGGAACCTTAACATTTACTTCAACTGCAGCAGTTCAAGCAAAAGTCGTGAGAGGTGTGGAGTCCCCTTTTCCTGTTGCATCCAAGATCCTGCAGTGAGTTGTTTCCTGTATTCTTTGGTTTATGTTAATGCTGGACATTGGGAGAAGAAATGTATTCTGAACAGTATGTATATATACTGAGAGATTGAGGGAGGGGAAAAGCAAGTGAGTGCAAAACATTGTAAAATCATGAATGTATTATACAGTATGCCCTCAGTTTCTGCTGGGTTGAATTCCAAGATGCAACTGTGACACCCAAATCTATGGATGATAAAGTCCCATTATACACAATGGTGCATTAATATTGTGTCCTTTATATTTTATATATTTATCGTATCAGAAGCAAACCAGGGGTACAGTTGTAATGTATTTTGAAAACACAAAGGTAAAAAACTTGGCATTATAGTAAATGTGCTTTGACCAGTATCAGGCCACTTGGAGTGCCTCTGGAGTTGCTATAAGGAGGTCCTCCATTGTGCATGTGGCAGGGCTCAGGCTGCATTGTAATAGATTGTCTGTGGTTTGCCCTTCTCCACACTCACATGTCGTGGACTTCACTTTGTGGCCCCATTTCTTAAGGTTCACTCTGCATCTCTTGGTGCCTGAGTGCAGTCTGTTCAGCACCTTCCAAGTCACCCAGTCTTGTTTGTGTCCTTTATATGTGCCTGTTTCCTTTATATAAAACTCACAAAATCAGGGTTTGCTTTTTTGAATTTTTTGTTTGGAATGTTTTCAAACCATGGATGGTTGAATCCGTGGGTACAGAATCCATGGATATGGAGGGCCTACTGTACTCTCTACAAAACTTTTCATCCTCAAATACTATATTTGAAAACAATATATAGTTTAGAAATCTCATTATGGTTAATTTTTCTCCCATTCTTTTTCAGCAAAACGTTTTGAACACACAATGTGGCTATGATGTCAGAAATATGGTGAGTAGTTTCTGTGTTACTGTTTTGCTATTTTATTTTGCCACTCCAAGCCTACATCTAGGTTTTGCTTTCCCAAATCCTATTGAAGGCAGAAGCTTCTTGCTTCTCTTCTGGATCTACAGTGTAGAAGGATTTAGGAAAGTGGTAGTCATCCTTTCATCAGCCTCCCTTAAATAGTATATACAGCGTGGTTCTGTATTTTCGCCTTCATTTCCTCCTAAGGAAGCTTTCCCAAAGCTAAGCTTCAACCATTGAATTCATTTTCATATAATGTGAATTTTCTAAAAAAAAAAAAAAAAGATTAAATAGTCATTCATGGTGGCAGACAATCATACTTCAAAATATGTACAGGCAGTCCCCGAGTTACAAAAATCTGACTTACAAATGACCCATAGTTAAGAACAACGGAAAGTGAAAGAAATCTATCTCTCAAAAGGGAAATTCACTCACAAAAGAGTTATCAGGGGGACAAGGTGTCTCAACTGAAGCTTTATCACCAAGCCTTGTTTCCACAACAAGCCAAGTTTTTCAAAATCCAATTATCCCAGGGACAGAAAGTGAATTGAAGTCTTCTGAAAAGGGGTACAGTCTGCAAAACAAGCACCACAGTGTTTTTGGACCTTCCATATGCTATCCAAAACTAAATAATGTATATATTTGGCTGGAATTACACTTCAAAAATGTACCTGTTCTGACTTACATACAAATTCAATTTAGGTTCTATAGGTTTGTTCTTACCTTATTTGCAACTTGTGGACTGCCTGTCATTGTTGTACTGTATTTCAAGTTTGCCAATGTTTGGCTGCTGATGACATTTTGATTGTTATGGATACCATTTTTTCGTATTGCATGGATACAAATAAATTATGAATATTGTTTTCAGTGGGTGAGGTTCTCCTCTCCCATCAACCCAGTGCTTCTCAGGTTTTCTGATGTGAATAACTGACATTTTTTGCTTTCCAATGTACTGGGAACCAGTACGACACAAAATGTGTATCCATTAGCTGTATGCTTGTCTACTATGCCCTGCCTCATGTACGAAGGAAGAATTGTTGGAGACTACAGACAATGCCATTGCTGTTGCCCATTTTTGGTCAGAAGATATTTAGGCACCTGCACTCCTTCTATTTTTATTGGTTTTATACTAATTTATGCAATGCTTTTGATAGGAAATAAATAACCTGTATGCTTGTCCACAATGCCCTGCCTCATGTACAGAGGAAGAATTGTTTAAAGCTACAGATAATGCGGTTGCTGTTGTCTGGTTTTGGTCAAAAATTATTTAGCCCCTTGTGCTCCTTCTATTTTTATCAGTTTTATAATTATTTATGCAATGTTTTTGACACAAAATAAATATTTCCCTATCCATTCATTACAGCATTAATTTTGGACATCATATAGTAAACAAATGTCCATAATTTCTGGGGATAGGCAACTTCATATGTGAAAGAAATTGAATCAGAAAGCATTACAGTGTTTTTAAGATTCTGCTTGTGGTTTGCTTTATTTATTTTTTCCATGTTTATTAATGCCATGCCTGCAATGTTCTCTGGATACCTTACAAAACTAATAATTAGCAGAGACAGGGCATTACCTTTTTGTTTGTTTGTTTGTTTGTTTTTAAGTAAAAGGAAAGCCAACGCTTACTCGAGACAAGCCTTCATAGCAGAACTGGCTGCCGTTAAACAAATAGCACTACTTGATATTTATCAGCTGTTAAAAACAATGCCAGTTTTCTTTAAAGGTTGGTTCTCAATTTTTGATCGTTTAGATTATTTGTACTCCAGTTCCCAGAGGTTCTAGGCCCAGTGCACAGGTATTTAACTATTGTTTTAAAAAGTGGGGCTAATGGCTGTTAAACCCAGTCACTAAAAAAGTGGTTGCAATGAGACTTCCAGTACTAGAGGCCAGAGTGTCTTCAATTGTAGTGAACAAAACCAGGTAATGAAACTTGTAGAATAAATTTCAAAAATAAACTGTCTCATCTGTTCAGGTGATTCGTTCTTCAAGTTTTGGAGCAGAAGTTAAGCTGTTCTTGGCATAATCATGTCTCTAGTGAACAGATTCCCATTTATATTTGAATTGAACAATCAACAAAAAATGTGTGTAATACCTGCTCTTTTTTTCTCCAGTCGGTATCTTTATGGGATGAAAGAATCTACACCAAAGGTTGCATCCCTGCACTGGAAGCTTGGTTGCCTCGGAATATTTACATCGTGGCAGGAGTCTTTGTGGCAATTTCTTTACTGCAGGTGAGTGGCCTGATGGGATAGCAAGTCACGTTACACGGTTATTCCCTGATTCCATTTCAACTGCCATGACTCCAAAAAGTGGAATTCGTGGATTTGCAGTTTAGGACACTGCTTCTTGAAATGTAGGTCCCAGCCCAAAATGAAGTCCTCTTAGCTCATTTTTTTCTCTGAATGTCAACTAGTGGCTGTTTAGACATCTACACAGACCTGCAGAAGATGCTTCAGCAGTACTTCATAAAAAGGAAAATCAGCCTGTTTAGCAAGCCTTGCTAATTTGCTGTTACAATACAATACAGCTCATATACCCGGATTAATGTAAATTTTCCCAGACCAAAAGCGGCCTCGAGTAGGAAAGTTTACGAAGCCGTGGTTTAGGTGAGGGCTTAAAATTTTCAGCCAGAAATCTCATGTAGTGTCATTGACCAAGCTACAAATCCCAGGTTTCCACACATGGCAGTTGAATCCTAGTACTATGATTGGGTATAGTGAAGGGCCTTGAGGATGATGTAACATCTTCTATCTACTATCTCCTAGTTTCACTGGTGACTGTCACTATTAGAGCTGATAATGGCCTTGAATTGTGCTTAGAATTGTTGTGGCACAACAGGTTAAACCACTGAGCTATTGAACTTGCTGACCAGAAGGTTGCTGGTTCAAATCCGCAGGTCGGGGAGAGCTCCTGCTGATAAACAATCCAGATGAGAGGACTTCCCCTTTCAGCTCTGAGTGGTGGTGCTCATCTCCATTTCTAAGCCAAAGAGCCTGCATTGTCCGTAGACACCTCCAAGGTCAAGTGGCCAGCATGACTGCACGGAGTGCCGTTACCTTCCCGCAGAAGCTTCTGCCAACCTAGCAGTTCGAAAACATGCAAATGTGGGTAGAACAATAGGTACTTCTTCTGTGGAAAGGTAACGGCCTTGGAGGCTTAGAAATGAGGATGCTTGACCTCTTTGGCTTAGAAATGGAGATGTGCACCACCACTCAGAGCTGAAAGGGGAAGACTTTACCTTTTTCTGTGTTTCATTGTTTCTAGGCATTGAATGTTTGTCTTTGTGTGTGCTGGAATCCGCTCTGAGTCCCCTCGGGGAGATAGGGTGGAATACAAATAAAGTATTCTTTGTATATTATTATTAGAACATAATTTAACATGTGATTTTGGAATTCTCAAAGTTGGAACACACAGTGCAACTTTCAGCCTGTATGCTCTCCCCTTCCCTGCCCTTGAAATGTGCTTCCATTCTAGCAGATTTAGACACCCCAACTTATTTGATGATGTCATGAAATAGCTAATTATAATGTATGTTTTAAATACATAATTTTATGTTTTAAATGTGTTTATTGATGTTGGGATATGATAGGTGCAGGCAAGCTGATGTGTCCCCTGAGCTGAGGCATTGCCATAGCAAAGGAACCAACTGTTAGAATGCGTCCAAGTTAGAGAAGCCAAAGGGGCGGAGCTAACTCCCACCTGGCAGAGGCAGGCATTTTTAAAAAAGTTTCTTTTAGTCAGTGGACAAAAGTGGAAGTTGGGTTCTGGTGTGTGGAGAAACCGAACCTAGGGGTTTAGGTCTTCAGCTTGTATGTTTAGAGAGTCAATTGGACCTGTTTAAATTATTTATTTATTTATTTATTCGTTCAAACTTATATGCCGCCACTCCCCTGGGGCTCGGAGCAGCTTACAAGAACAGGCTAAAATCTAATACAATTTAAAAACAATTTAAAACAATTGAAAAACAGCAATATCAAGGATGAAAGGCCTGTCGAAACAGGTATGCCTTACATGCCCTGCGGAAAGCTGATAAGTCCCACAAGGCATGGACTTCAGGTGGCAGAGTATTCCAGAGTGATGGTGCCACTGCTGTAAAGGCTCTGCGTCTGATTGCTGTTAGGCGCAAGGTCTTGACGCTGGGAATTTCCAACAAATCTTGGTCCTCAGAATGGAGGGATCTCTGGGGTTGGTAGTGGGTGAGGCGGTCCCTCAGATACATCGGCCCCAGACCATGCAAGGCCTTAAAGGTGAGTTCCATCACTTTGAAAGTGATCCGGTGCTCAATTGGTAACCAATGCAGCCGTAGTAAGATTGGTGTTATGTGGCATCTCATTGGAATTCCCGCAAGAAGCCAAGCAGCTGCATTTTGTACCAACTTGAGCTTCCGGATCACCGACAGAGGAAGGCCAATGTAGAGGGCGTTACAGTAGTCCAGTCTTGAGATGACCGTAGCCTGGATCACCGTAGCTAGGTCGTCCCTGGACAGATAGGGGGCCAGCCATCTAGCCTGCCACAGATGAAAAAAGGCGGTTCTGCTAATGGCGGAGACCTGGGCCTCCATCGTCAGAAGAGGGTCCAAAAGGACTTCCAGACTCTTTACCAATGATGACGGGCATAGCGCCTCGCCATCCAGGGTAGGCAGCTGGATATCCCCACTGCCAGGTTAACCCAGCCATAGGATCTCCGTCTTTGCTGGATTCACCCTCAACCTCCTGGCACGCAGCCATCCAGTAACGGCCTCGAGGCACTGATGGAAACAATCAGGTACAGAGTCCGGTCGGCCTTCCATCTTCAGCACAAGCTGAGTGTCATCAGCGTACTGGTAACACTCAAGCTCAAAACCTCGAACCAGCTGAGCAAGTGGTCGCAAATAGATGTTAAACAACAGAGGGGAGAGAATGGCCCCCTGAGGAACCCCACAAGATAGAGGGGACGTCTCAGAGACCAGGCCTCCCCTCTCCATTCGCTGTCCACGGTTGTGAAGAAAGGAGGACAGCCAATTTAAAGCTGTCCCCCTGACTCCAGCAGCAAGGCGGTGGGTCAAAAGATTGTGGTCGACTGTGTCAAATGCTGCTGTGAGATCCAATAACACAAGCAGTGCCGACCCGCCCTAATCACAAGCTAATTAGCTCATGAGTAATTAGCTTGTGAGCTAAGGGGAAAAGAAACCCCAGTAGAAATCCATAACTTCAGTGGGGATATCTGAAGGGAGAAAAAGGCAAGTCAGTGCCTTGAATTGTCAGTTAAGAAAAGAAAGATACTTTGCAGTGAAATAAGTTTAAAACTAGTCTGGTTGGTGTAAAAGCCATACTGAGAGTTATACTGGAAACTGTTTAACTAAAGGAATACAGAATAATAATACAGAATAAAGGAATACAGAATAATAATCAAACGTTGTAAACCTGTGAATCCTTAAATAAATATTTCCTTGATCAGTTCTTTATAATCAAGACTCTTGTCCATTTATTGAGAAGAAGATTTACCTCAGGTAAAGGCAGCTGAAGATATTGGAAGAAAGGATTCTGGTTGGAGTAATGAGTTACTCCTTTAAAAAGTGCCTCGAGCAAAAACATTTTAAAAGTTAAGCCTCAGCTACAAGCACCACCACTACTTTAGTCTCCTCATTGCCCTGGTTATATATACATATTTGTCATTTGTTTGTCGTATTTTACAAACCCATTAGTCCGGAATTCACAAATGAGGTTGTAAGTGAGAGCAGTTTGTCCAGCTGTTTAGGGAATCAAAGCCTAACTTGTCTGTTGCTTTTATCCCATGAATCTTGAACAGCATGTAATTATTGGGTGGAGTAATGGGTGCATATCACTACCATTTCCCTAGCAAATTCATTTTAGAATCTGAAGCCAAGAGTACACTCAAGACTTTTCCACACAGCCATATAACCCAGAATATCAAGGCAGAATATCAAATCCAACAATGTATTGTCGAAGGCTTTCATGGTCGGAATCACTGGGTTGTTGTAGGTTTTTTGGGCTATATGGCCATCTTCTAGAGGCATTATCTCCTAGGAGGTAGGAGTTCTCCCAGTTCAAAGCAGATATTGTGGGATTTGGGTTGTTGTAGGTTTTTTGGGCTATATGGCCATGTTCTAGAGGCATTATCTCCTAGGAGATAATGCCTCTAGAAGATGGCCATATAGCCCAAAAAACCTACAACAACCCAAATCCCACAATATCTGCTTTGAACTGGTTTATGAGTCCACACTGCCATATATTCCTGTTAAAAGCCGAAAATGTGGGATTTTATTCAGCTGTGTGGAAGGGGTCTCAGTTGATGTAATTCCTCCAGTTTACTTTGGAGAAGTGAGTGGAACAAATCACTATAAACGCCTGGTTTGTGCACAGTCACTGATATCTTCCACTCCCACCTGGGGAAAAAAGAAATTACTTGGATCAGACATACATCTCCTGAAAACTGAAAAACAGAGGTCACACTGAGCAGATAAACGGCACTGATGTTGGGGAAGGAGGACTCTTTCTTGTCAAGGAACACCCATAAAGCATGCCCTGCTTTTGCTTTGTACTAGGCAGAGCTGCATTTTTCATATCTAGCCAAACCTTAAAAGCTTGAGATACGAGGGGTATTTTTTAAGTAAGGTCCGTTTGAACAGAAGTACACAATGAAAGTTTATTTCAAAAAAGTAAATTTATTTTCAGAAAGTACATACTTCACTCTATTTTTCGACATAGTTGCCAAGTTTGTTCAAACACTTATCATACCTCTGAACCAATTTTAAAATACCCTCTTCATAAAAACTTGCCGCCTGCTCCGATAACCAAATAGTCTGTAATCAAAGAAGGGCGACCGGAGCGGTCCTCATCATAGACGTTGTCACGGCCATCTTTGAATTGTCGTACCCACTTACGCACTTTGCTTTCACTCATAACAGTAATACCGTACACTTCACAAATCTGTCGATGAATTTCTGCAGCAAGCAGGTTCCTTGCTGACAAAAACCATATCACTGAGTGAACCTCACATGCGGCGCGTGAGTTGATAGTCTTAAACATTTTTAAAGCACAGAACAGAACCGTACAGGTTAGCTACAGAGCGGAAACTGAGCACAGGTGTTTCCGAGGCATGCCGGTACACGACACACGCGCTCGTTGCGGTATGTGCGCAAACTACTAGTGTCTACAACAAAACGGACCATACTTAAAAAATACCCCTCGTATAATGACCTTTCAACCTCTGAGGATGCTTGCCATAGATGCAGGCGAAACGTCAGGAGAGAATGCCTCTGGAATATGACCAGATAGCCCGAAAAACCTACAACAACCCTTGAGATAATGGCTGAAGCCTTCTTCCCATGCAAATACCATTTGAAGATGCATAGTTGCTAAATTCTGGTCTCAAAAATGCCTGGTGTTTTTGTTTTGTTTTGTTTTTGTTTGTTTTTTTTGGGGGGGGGACGACAGGGTAGCATCTGGCCGTTCAGGGGAATAATTTGGCACAGGCAAACTGTATTGGTTGTGTGAACTTCTTAATAATGTCTGCCATATACACACTCATGTGCAGAGGATTTATTGGTTGGATCAATAAAGTAATAACTGGTTGGTAATCCTGACTATATCATTTTGTTTCCCACTGAGTCAACAAAATTGTTCAGAGAGTTGTTCTTATATGCAATGCATGAGAAAGGGGGGGGGGGATCAAACAAGTGTATAGAAAAGCTCCCTCTGAACCATATTCTTTTGGGAATATTTCTTTTTCCTCTCACATACATGCCGCACTGAAGATTTACGCAGTTGCTAATGCCTTCTGAGATAGAATAGAGAAAACAGAATAGTAAATTTGTTGGATGTGCTGAAATAGGAAAGCACTTCTTTTCAAAGTTAAGCCCATGAATCTTACAATGCCGTTGTAAAAGTGTTCCAATTTGAAATGAGTGTTCATGTTTCTCGGCAGATTAAGCACAACAAGCTGCTTTGCTCCTGAATCACTGAAGACTCAGGCTTGGATCTTTCTTTTTTTTAAAACAAGGGCTGAACAGTCCTCGCATCTGGATTGTTTATCATCCCAGCACTAGAGAAAAGCTTCAAAGAGAAAAGCATAGACGGCAGAATTTATCTCTTCATTGTTATTGTAGGAAGAGGCCCAGTCTGTTGAACACTATCTCCTTTCCAAGTAACTTTTGTTTTTTCACATGCACACTTTTTTTTTTGCTTTGTTAGATATTCGGGATTTTCCTGGCGAGGACGCTGATTTCTGATATTGAAGCTGTGAAGGCTGGCTTCCGATTCTGAAGATCAAAACAGAGATTGACTGTGAGGATAAGCTGAATCTCATGGCTCTTCATCATCATCACAGCATAAAGAGAGGAAAGGAAATGAAACCTGAGATCTAGAAACAGCTTGATACATCTAGAGCTTAAAGCCATAATATTTCCTTTTAAAACAGTGTGTAGCTGGATACCATCCTGCTTAGCTAGAAGCAAGAGCCAGGGGATCCTGTTCCTCATCCATCCACCTCATGAATTGTTTTGCAACTGTAATCTTTTGAAGGGAACTTGTGTATTTCTGGTCTTTTGTACCCAGATGTGAAGATTCAAAAAGGGCAGCAGTGGACATTTCTAGAAATTTCTGCCCTAAAACGAGTACTGTCATAGTTCTCCTTTTACAGTAGTGATATCTTATAATTGTTGCATTTCCAGTGTTGATCAATGCCTAGAAGAAAGTCCCATGATGCCAAATGTTTACATCCTGGGGACAGGAATGGTATATGTGAAAGATCTTTAATAGCTGAAATACTTGTTCAGGGAATATTGTGCCTCTTGGCAAACGGAAACATTCACTGTGCGGGATTTTTAAATGAGAGCCATATTTATACAGATGGTAGAACTAGGGTGGGGTTGGCTTCTAAAGTTGCCTAAAGTCTTAATAGGGACCTTCGCCTTTGTAAAAAAGACGAGTTCCTTTTATTTTGACCAGACCTAATGTATCAATTTCAGGTGTTAGGGATCAGAGGAGAATCCTGGAGATTTTTCAAAAGGACATTCATTGTACTGAAAATCCTCACCTACGTGGATTTATGAAGTAGTAGTGATGTGTAGACTCAGAAGCATTGGTCCACAGACCTTTTTGGGAAATTCAAGACTGGATGCTCCTATACTGCCTTTCAGACATTTGTGATATGGCATTATTTATAGATGTTTGAACAAAAAATGTATCTTCTCTTATGATTTTTCTAATACTGTTTGATATAATACTCAATTCTAAAACCATTTATCTGCTGGACTGATAAGTTGCTCGTTTTGCTAGTTCTGTGGAAGTGTATCAGAAATGTCCAGAATTCCATTTCCATTCCTGTTCTCTCCTTTTCATGGTAGTATCTTAACCAACTTAAGAAGCCTTTAAACTTGGGGTGGGCAGCTTTTGGGGACTGGGGGAACATTTAGCTCCTCTGGCTCTACTGAGGGCTGTACACTGTGTTGCCACATTTTGTCAGGGTGTACCAGCACCAGCAAAAAATAAGGTGTTAAATCTAATATTAGTTCACTCAGAGCAAACTCAACAAATTAACAGCACTCATCAGTCACTAGTTTATGAATCCCCTGCCCCTTTGTGGCAAAATATGGCAATTCTCCTTTAATACAAAGCACAAAGGAGCTCTTGTTTACAAGCATTATCACAGTTCTACGAAGCCTTCCTTATTTTAAAGGCAAATTGCTGTTTTGGGCAATTAGAATGTCGCTAAATTTCAGTGTCAATGGGCAAATTTGCTGGCAAAGAGTTTGGAGGGTCCCGCCAAAAAAAGGAAAGGAGAGGCAGGTACTTCTTGCTTATTGACTCCTCCAGCTTTAAGCCTCACAAAGAAACTTTGTTCTGTATATGCTAAAGTCCCCCACATATATGCAAGTTAACGGGGGCATGTAAAGGTCCAGTGGCATTTAAATGATGCAAGACTCTTCAAAACCAGAATGTTAAATAATGTTGTCTTCATGTGTCTGCTTGGAAAGTGCTTAGACTTCAACTTGTCGTATTTTGATCTATTTTGGGATACAGCTCTAGAGCAGATTTGCAGAGTTTGTGACCCATGAGGTTTGCTATCTTACACTTTTCCTGTTTACCTGAGACTGCTAAAAAATAAGAACTGTGTAGACACACCTTACAAACTGGTAGCTAACTGACTTGTTGCCTTCTGCTTGGTGGAGGAGCACAAGCTGGGCAGATACGCTCTACAACAAGAGTGGGAATTGCCCATCCCTGAGATGTTGATGGACAACCGTTCCCATGATTGGCTGTCACAGATAGAGCAGCTAAGAGTTGCAGTTCATCAGCATCTGCAGGGTCAGGTGATTTCAAGTTCTGCTCTAAAGTGTTTCCAAAACTGATCATGTTTCACTTCAAATAGAGAAAGTGTTGCCTTTCTTCTTTGAAAGAAGGATTGCTGTTGACCTTGTGTGGACATGCAATCTTTCTTTCACGCATGTAGTTTTAGAGTAGCCCTCACTGAAATGGATGGCATGTGCCTTCAAAATTTTGGACCATCCTGTAGATTGTTTCTATTTAAATGCCTTTGTAGGACATAACTTCGTACAATGAAGCTACAGAGACGTTTCAGAATATTAGAATAGCCCTGCATTGGCCTTCTTCTTAACAAAGTGCAACCAAAGCTGCAGTTCTGTGCACACTAATCTGACGGTAAATCTGACTGAATATGGTGTAATTTACTTCTGAGTAGAGGCACAGGATTGCACTCCAGTGGAAGCACTTTGAAACTCTTAAATGTAATGAATTTCTAAATGTGCTTAACTTTGGCTATAGTGTCACTGTTTTTCATATTGCTTTTTTTTTTCAGGGACTTCGGGCTTTCCTACTGTCTAAATACACATTTAAAAGTCTGTATTTGTATACTTTTGTATCTTTTTGTACATAGAATAAGCAGTAAGAACAAAAAAAAAGTGTGTGTGCTTCTCTTGTTTAAAAGACCACATTTCTCTGACAGAAATGCTATGCTATCTTGTTTTATAGAAAACTGGTTTTGAAAACTAAAGTTACTTCCAGAATTTATGAGTCGGTTTATGGACTGATGAAACTATTGTGTCGAGATCTAAAATTGAGCCTGTATTGATTTTTTTTTCATTTAAAGACAAACTATTCCTGAAATATTAATGTTTTTGATGGGTATGAGCAACTTCTGTGTGTTTCCTGGGTGTTTTGTCCAAGAATGAAGACAAAAAAGAAACCTTATTGGCGTGAAGACTGGCCTTCTGCCTGAACACAGTAGAAATAGACAAGTGTGACTGTCTAGTGTTGGTTTCTTATTTGTATGATGTGCTGAATATCTAGATAACCTTTTCCTGATGAGGAACATGCATTTTTAGGTAGCGTAAGATTTATATTGGCCACATCATGAGGAGACAGCAAAGCCTAGAGAAGACAATTATGCTGGGGAAAGTAGAAGGTAAAAGGAAGAGGGGCCGACCAAGGGCGAGATGGATGGATGGCATCCTTGAAGTGACTGGACTGACCTTGAAGGAGCTGGGGGTGGTGACAGCCGACAGGGAGCTCTGGCGTGGCCTGGTCCATGAGGTCACGAAGAGTCGGAGACGACTGAACAAATGAACAACAACAAGATTTATAATCCCATAGGTATCAGCATGTGCGGGTGCATGCTGATACCTATGAGATTATACATCCTACTTGTTTTCTCTGCCATATTTCTGTCATTCTCACTATCTGGTTTGTATGGAGTTTCTGAATCTGAGTCTTAAGTTCACCACCCTGTTTACTTGCAAGATCTCTCTCCATGTATGTATAATAATTTCTCTCAGCTCAGATAATCGCAACTCATTCTACGGAGAGGTGATAATGCTCTCTGCTATGTGTTTACTCTTTTCTCCCTGAGGAGCAGTCAGAAGAATTACTTCCTGCTGATTCTCCTTTTAGAAAACCAAGGATTTTCTAGTTACTGATTTATTTACTTGTGGAGGACTCCTTCACTTTGTCTCTGGTAATAACCTCACATCAGCAAACCCTCTCTAGCTCTAGCCCTGATAAGTAATCTGTGATTTGAATGTTGGGGAAGGATAAGACTTGTAAGACTCACTGCCTCTGAGGATGCTTGCCATAGATGCAGGCGAAAAGTCAGGAGAAAAATTGCCTCCAGATCATGGCCATATAGCCCGGAAAAACCTACAACAACCCAGTGATTCCGGCCCTGAAAGCCTTCGACAATACAGACTGGTAAATGTTAAGACTCAAAAGTCATCCTGTCTCAACATTGTGAAGCAGCATTTGCCGTAACCATCTTATAAGGCAGTGGTTCTCAACCTGTGGGTCCCCAGATGTTTTGGCTTCCAAGTCCCAGAAATCCTAACAGCTGGTAAACTGGTTGGGATTTCTGGGAGTTGTAGGCCAAAACACCTGGGGACCCACAGGTTGAGAACCACTGTTATAAGGGTTAAAGACGCAAGCAAATTCCTCACCTGATTAGCATCAAGTATGGCTGTATGTTTATCAATGAGTCATTGCTACTAAGAAAGTCTTTTCCCAGTTGGCTTTCCTCCTTGCTTAAAGACCCATCTGGATATACAATCTTCAGGAAACTTTACCTGAACAGTTTCGTAGTGATGAATGGGAATTGTGCAAAATCAAGGAAATGGAGGTACTAATGCATAAATCCAGAAAATCAACCCCCAAACCTGGGTTGACTTATCTACGGGTTAATGTGAGCAGTGTACCTTACTCCTATACATATGATTGACTTATGTATATACACTAAAGTGTCCTTTGATGATCTTGTCCAGTAGCATGTACTATGAAAATATCTGATTGCCGAGGAAGAATTCTCATCTTTATTGCTATCAAATACAGACACACTGTCTGTTTTCTTGAAGCAGCGTGTATGCATCTGTGTAACTTTCCAGATATTTGCATAAGCATCAGCCAACATGTTTGGCAGCCATGGATGATTTATCAAAGACTTTCATGGCCGGAACCACTGGGTTGTTGTAGGTTTTTCAGGCTGTATGGCCATGCTCTAGAAGCATTCTTTCCTGACGTTTTACCTGCTCCTGTGGCAAGCATCCTCAGAGGTTGTGAGGTTTAAACACGGAGGTTGTGTTTAAACCTCACAACCCCTGAGGATGCTTGCCACAGATGCAGGCGAAACATCAGGAGAGAATGCTTCTAGAACATGGCCATGCAGCCTGAACAACCTACAACAACCTATTGATAATTTAGTTATTCATGCAGATAGAAGGACAATGGACAGCCACCTTTGACGATACTTACTATAGGTAGGTCTTTACTTAAAACCTGGCCACACATTTAAATATTATTAGGCTATTCAGTAAGGTATTATTTGATAGTTTTCCCTGAATCCAATCTCAAGAATATAAGCAGTGTGCTTACCTTAAAAACACACGCACACTTAACTCGCTAACAGGCTTAGAAATTGCTTTTGTATTCCCCTAATGTTTAAAAAGCAATTATCTGCAGATGTGGTAGCAAAGAAAATGTTACAGAATTTTTTGTTCTGGAGCTAATGCAAGTAAAGTCCTTTGCAGCATATATTGTTGTTTAATTTCTGTTTCACCAGGAGTCTTTACAACTGCCTGCCTCTTCTGTAAAATATCCCAAAATGTTTTGTACCACACTTTCTGAAGTTGTTCTATATCCCAGATTTTTGTATCCTTTATTTATTTATATATTTATTTACAATTTTTATATTCTGCCCTTCTCGCCCCGCAGGGGACTCAGGGCAGATTACAGTGTACACATATATGGCAAACATTCAATGCAAATTTTTGACATACCAACATATACAGACATACACAGAAGCTATTTAACTTTTTCTGGCTGCCAGGGGAGCTGTCGCTTTCATCATCCATCTGCGACGCTGATGAAGCACTTCCGCATTCCCCGCATGCTTCCCCGCTGGAATGCTTTGCTGGAGTCTTCTTTATGGCCTCATAAATCAGTTAATTTAGCCTCCTCACACTTTAAGGTGGTACCTTATTTTCCTACTTGACAGATGCAACTGTCTTTCGGGTTGCATAGGTCGACAACAGGCTACACACAATTGGTTGGAAACCCATTCCAACCCGGGCTGGCTTCAAACTCATGACCTTTTTGGTCAGAGTGATCTTAATGCAGCTGACACTCAGCCAGCTGCGCCACAATCCCGGTGCTCTATCTTCAGTATAAATTTAATCAATCTACTATTGATTACTTAGCTTTTGCAGAGTACTTCACATGATTGCTTTATACCATTACAGTCATTAAAACAATCATCTGTAGTAACAATCTAACACGGCAACCTTTCAGTAAGATCGACCCTGTTGCACCATGTTCTACCCAGGTCTTGCCTTACATAGGAGCACCCTCAAAAATCAAAACTTAAGCACCCCAAAAAGTTAAGGAGAAGATGGGAGATAAAGTGAAAAGGGGCTGAGTAAGAGCCATGGGGAAACGTATGGCCCAATTATATTGCTGACAAAGTCCTATAGCATGGCTTTATAAAACTGGATCCAAATGGGCAAGTTTCACATGTTTACCGCCATGTGCAAAAACTCCAAATAGAGCAGAACTGTATTTCTACATGATTTAGTAGATGGGAAGAGGCTGATTTCAAGTGTGATATGCTGTGGTTAAAAGGGAAGAAGGCATGATAATGCCTTATTATGGGGATGGCAATGCAATTCCTTTCAGCCTTCTCTATATGCTAGAAGGCTTCTGATGGGAGGGACTGAAACTCCCATAATAAGTAGTGAAAGGGAGATAGATGAGGTTGACTATGGAAAACTATTTTCAGCTTTGGGATATTGGGGAACTACATGTCAGTGAATGGGGACAGTATTTACAAACGTTCCTCAGGGATCCATGATAATCTGATTGTTTTTCCTGCCTATTATTAAGACACACTCCTTTTCTTACTATGGTCTTTGGTCAATATCACGAAAAGACATAAGATCTTTCCTTCTGTTTGGCGCTGGACCAAAGGAAAGGAACAGGAATTGGGAAGAAGATGGTATATCAAACATCCTTCATGCCTCTCAGTCTTAAAGTTAACTTTTATGCCATCTGCATGGCCATTTGCATATGGAATATTATTAGTTTGCTTTTAAATTAGTTTCCATTTAACCTGCCAGTGCCCCAACTATCTAGAACAGTAGTTCTCAACCTCGGGTCCCTAGATGTTTTTGGCCTACAATTCCCAGAAATCCTAACAGCTGGTAAACTGGCTGTGATTTCTGGGAGTTGTAGGCCAGAAACATCTGGGGACCCAAGGTTGAGAAGCACTGATCTAGAAGGTGTCTAGATAGGTGTCAGTCTCCTATCTAGAAGGAGACTGAATCATGACTGAGAATCATTGTAGTGGGACTCCGCATCAGCCCTAACCAGTGTTGCCCCAGTGTGGAACACATCTCACCACACTAAAACAGTGGATGTGGCTCTTAATGAGACATGCCGCATTATCACAGGGTGTCTGCGCCCTACACCACTGGAGAAATTACACTGCTTAGCCGGTATTGCACCACCTGACATCCGCCAGGAAGTTGCAGCCAATAGTGAAAGGACCAAGGCAGAGACATCTCCAGCTCATCCCTTGTTTGGGTATCAGCCAGCACATGAACGACTTAAATCAAGAAATAGTTTTCTTAGATCTACAGAGACACTCGCTGGAACACCTCAGCAAGCGAGAGTCCAAAAGTGGCAGGCTCAAACCCAGAACCTCAATCCAAGGCTGATACCAGATGAGAGACTCCCCCCTAGGCACACAGAAGACTGGGCGACTTGGAAGGCACTGAACAGACTGCGCTCTGGCACCACGAGATGCAGAGCCAATCTTAAGAAATGGGGCTACAAAGTTGAATCCACAACATGCGAGTGTGGAGAAGAGCAAACCACTGACCACCTGCTGCAATGCAACCTGAGCCCTGCCACATGCACGATGGAGGACCTTCTTGCGGCAACACCAGAGGCACTCCAAGTGGCCAGATACTGGTCAAAGGACATTTAATCAGCTACCAAGTTTGCAAAATTTGTGTTGTTGTTTTTTATCCGTTTGTTTGTTTTGTTCTGTTAGAAATGTAATACAATGTTTGGTTGCGGATGACACGATAAATATATTTGGTATTTTTTATTTTTAAATATTTTGACTGCATGTACAAAGAAGTAGCCAGCAGGTAGGTAATGCTTTGTAAATATTCGTAAAATTTTGTAATGAATATTTTGTAAATTAAGTTACATTTAGCTACAATTTCCCATTATTCCTCTGTTCTGTATGACAATTTTGGGGCACCCTGTAGAATGTGATAGTTAGAGTCCAACAATGCCTGGAGGCCCCCATATTTTCCCTCCTTATACTAAATTATGCAGCAATACCAGTTTGAGCTGCTCTACTGCAAGGCTTTCCAAGCCACCTGGTGTGGCTAACTGGGGAAAAGATCATGTGCCAGGGAACAGTACCATTATATTCCTCAAATTTACATAATTTATATATTTGTATAGTTTCTGAAAGCTCATTGGGTCCTGGCAGCTGATGACTTAGCAACTGGCACTGGTCTACAGGCCACCATTTTGAGTAGCATCTCCCTTGGTTCTTGTGGGTTTTTTCAGGCTATAGGGCCATGTTCTAGAGGCATTTCTCCTGACGTTTCGCCTGCATCTATGGCAAGCATCCTCAGAGGTAGAACATCCTCACTACCTCTGAGGATGCTTGCCATAGATGCAGGCGAAACGTCAGGAGAAATGCCTCTAGAACATGGCCCTATAGCCCGAAAAAACCCACAAGAACCTAGTGATTCCAGCCATGAAAGCTTTCGACAATACATTGAACATCTCTACGGGGAGAAACTGTTCCAAGACACACAGAAATTGGAGAAACTAAGGACCAGGAAAGCACATCTACTTTGCTCCCTGACTTTCCTTCTACGCTGCAGAGACACAGATACCATCCCACAATTTCTCGCAGCCAAAAGGACTTTCAAAACACCACAGGCTCACCAGATCTATGACCACCTAGAATGCAACCTCTTATGAGAGAGAATTCACACCATCCGCAAAGAACTCACAAACACAGTCAAGGAACTGCTGCACCTCCATATCAACATCAGCCAGAAGATGAATTCCCAGGACTGGGACAAAATAGACAACCTCACTTACACCTCCACCCCACCACCCCTCCTCACCCCTCACTACCTCTGAGGATGCTTGCCATAGATGCAGGCGAAACGTCAGGAGAAATGCCTCTAGAACATGGCCCTATAGCCCGAAAAAACCCACAAGAACCTAGTGATTCCAGCCATGAAAGCCTTAGACAATACAGCATCTCCCTTGTTGGGCATGTTCCCCGAGTACAAACCTGATTCTGTTAAAGGCATAGAGAGGGCTCTCGTGTTCACCCAATAGGATTGTTGGTGGCATTTAAGTGCATGAGGAAGGTATACCTGAAAATTTCATTCTATCTGCATTGTTAAACAGCTGCTTACTCAGATTTTACTAATTCAGGCATCCTGGACCGGAATGAAATTAACTTTTTAATTTCCCATTTCTCCAAATTTGACTGTACAGTTCTTTGTTCATATAACTTATGCTTATTTTAGGAATGTCGCTTACAAACAGATATCTTTGGGAAAACTATAAAATTTATATTTCAATATAAAGTTTAATGTAGCTAAAATCTGCATGATTTAGAAACAAAACTTAATGAATTATTGGAAGAAAACATCAAAAATGACACAAAGTGGAAATCTATCATCTCTTAAATGAAACTGCCACACGGTGGAGGTGGGATTGCAACAAACACAAATACTATGATACATTTGCTTGAACAACATTTAAAAACAAAACATCACCACCAAAGTACTCATAATATTTAAGACTTAACTCCAATTTTAATGTATTTACTCAAGTCTAATGCACCATCAAATCTAATGCACACCTCAATTTTCAAAGCCCTGTAAAAAAGTATTTACCATATTACACAAATCTAATGCACACCCTAATTTTGGGAAGGTAGTCAAAAAAGGGGAGCATTAGAATTGAGTAAATATAGTAATTTACTTTCTAGGCTCAATCCCAAAGCACAGCTTGTTAGCCAAGGTAGTACTTCAATTGGAAGAGTGCATTATGTGCAGAAAGCTGTGTTGGATAAGCAGACCTGCGCCATATATTTATTGCTCAAAGAAGCTCTGCTCGCCATTGAGTATATGAAGAGCCATTAGAGCCTGTTTGGCTACATTCTCATTGATGTGGCCACAGAGTTTCTCGAGGGTCTCTTTTATCTCGTCCCCTTCAGCTTCTTGTCTTAGGTCACCTAAAAGAGAGGAAACATATTTGAATAGGATGGCCCACAACAATAAATGCCAAGCTAACAAACAGTATGATACATGTAATACAAGAACCTGACTATGAAGCATCAGAGGATTTAATAAAGCGGTGCAATCCAGACAGAGGCGGCCCTAGGTAATTTTCAACAGTAAGCAAATAGTATTTTGGTGCCCCCCCCCCCAACCAATCATTGATATATATATTTTCTGTTCGTCATGAGAGTCTTGTGTGCCGTATTTGGTTCAATTCCATCATTGGTGGAGTTCAGAAAGCTCTTTGATTGTAGGTGAAATATACATCCCAGTAACTACAACTCACATATGTCAAGGTCTGTTTTCCCCCAAGAGCGCCTCAAGAGCGTCTCTGGGCAAAATCAACTATATTGCGAATGCTTACTTTGCGTAATGGGTTGAACCGCCCCTGAATCCAGATGATTGCATGGATAGCTTTGTGTTTGTTGTACAGTTGCAGCTGGGGCAACCATACAAAATATCTGGATTTTTTTTTATAGTGTGCGGATAGTTGCTTCTGGTAAGGAGCAGAGAATTAAAGCTCTGATTTGCATACAGACCTTGGGGGCTGTGGGTAATAGGTTTATATTATTTCTGTACCTTGCAATAGGTTGTTGACAATAGTTTAACTTAAAAGAGATCCAAAACAACCATTTCCACCTATCGGCTTGACCGTCATCCCAAATAGTCAATTGATGCACCCAGTCCTCTACAAGAGCCATTCCATTTTGTTGTTTAGCTGTGAAAGAAACACATTTTCCACATCCCCAAATTTTCCACTTTTATGTTCTGTTTATTGGTTAAGCCATTAAAAAGTCCTACCAGCTGCCTGGTCTGCTTTGGTGGAAAGGAACAGAGACATATATCTAGGTAATTACACGAGACAACTCCATTGTGTCTCATCCAGCAGCTGTTGGGAGTCCCTCTCACTACCTTCAACTGCCATTCCGCTGGCCTCGTGAGTGGGAGGGAGGCAGGCAACAAGACAGTTACATCATGTCTTATGTATTATATCTTATTTATCTTATGTAGATTGTAAGCCTGAGGAATATTAACATTTTGTAAGCCACTCTGAGTACCTTCATGGATGAAGAAGAAGATAAAAAAAATCCCTAAATAAAAAATAACTACAAAGAAACCAGCGTGGTGCCATGGATTGAGTATAGGAGACCAAGGTTTAATACTATGCTCTGCTATCAAAATCCATTCAGTGACCATGGGCAAGTCAGACTTTCTCAGCCCCTCTAAACACCATGAAACTGTCACCTTTAAGGTTTTGTCCTAATGTACCAGGGACTGACATTACATTTATACCTATTGGCTAGAATACTTTCTTTCCTGGAAACATGCAGTGGACTGGAAGGCAATAGCTCACAGTCTGGCACTGATCTACAAGACCACCACTTAAAAGTGACACTACTTTACAGCATTCTTTAGTTTTACCTCTCTCCCTCCCTCCTTCGCCCCCCCTCTATATATAGCACCCTCCATAAGTCTCGATGCTTTTCAAATTCCAAAAAAATTGACTAATGGGTCTATGGCAGGTGTTCTGTCGCCGCTGGGCCTGTATTTGGTTGGCTTTAAAATAGGATGTGTAACCTTTGCCCAGCAGGAAGCCCGAGGAAAAGTTCTCAGAGGCTTCCTTTACAAATAATTTTCAGATGGTTTGAGAAGTACAACAAAGTCTTTTATTAATGAAATCAAACAGGAACTGCAAGGCTTTCTTGATAAAGTATTGGTTCTCTCAATCTTGTCCACAGGGGACAGGCACTATCTTCACTAACTTTTCTTTAAAGGAATATTTCCCCTTTTTAACTTCTCCCAGGCTGTCTAAAATCCAACCCTCGCTGATGCGTGCTCCACTACCGGGCCGAAATGCTTCTCGGACGCCGAGTGGACCTACCAGCAAGGCAGTGGATGTTCTCCAGCTGGAGTTCTTTAGTCTTTAAGGCTGTTTTCCTTGAGTTCTTAAAGCTGTTCTCCCCTGGATTGCTTAAAGCTGTGGGAATGCTTCCCTGGTGTTCTTTCCCTGGAGATTCTTAAAGGTTGAAGTTTTTGTACAGGGGAAGTTACACACATCCTATACATTGGTTAACCTGGCTGAGACTAACTAACAAAATGGCTCACTTCCCTCCAAAGCCCAAAAAGGGGGCGGGACTAGGGAACCTAATAATAATTGACAAGCAATTGACCCAATAATTGCAAAGTAAGGAAAGCCATCTAACTGCAAAGGCATAGAACTTTAAAATACATGCAGCAATCAACAAATAGCAAGATAACCTAGAGCTCTTGGTGCGGCTGTCCCAGAACAGCAAGGGTCCTCAAACTAAGGCCCGAGGGCCGGATATGGCCCTCCAAGATCATTTACCCAGCCCTCGCTCAGGGTCAACCTAAGTCTGAAACAACTTGAAAGCACACAACAACAACAACAACAATCCTATCTCAGCCAAAAGCATACCTCCCATTGAAATACTAATAAGTTTATATTTGTTCTTCATTTTAATTATTGTATTGCTTTTAAGTGTTTTTTTTTTTTTTGCACTACAATTAAGATATGTGCAGTGTGCATAGGAATTCATGTTTTTTCAAATTATAAGCCGGCCCTCCAACAGTTTGAGGAACTGTGACCTGGCCCTCTGTTTAAAAAGTTTGAGGACCCCTGGTCTATGGTCTAAAATGAATTCTATATTTCTATATAATTTGTGTAAACAAGTAGGAGAAAAATCCTAGCAATAAGAGCGATTCAATAATTTGACAGTCTGTTTCAAGGGATAGTGATAGCCTACGCTTTGTTGACAGTATATTGAAACAAGATTTGGACAGCTGTCTATCAAACATGCTGTAGTTTTATCCAATTTTTTTTGTCGTGTCAGGAGAGACTTGAGAATCTGCAAGTCACTTCTGGTGTGAAAGAATTGGCCGTCTGCAAGGACGTTGCCCAGGGGACACCCGGATGATTTGATGTTTTATCATCCTTGTGGGAGGTTTCTCTCATGTCCCCGCATGAGGAGCTGGAGCTGGTAGAGGGAGCTCATCCGCCTCTCCCCAGATTCGAACCTGTGACCTGTCGGTCTTCAGTCCTGCCAGCACAGGGGTTTAACCCACTGCGCCACCAATATTGAGGAGTGGGTTGAACTAGATGAGTTCTAAAGCAATTTGAAATTCTAGGTTTGTATCTCCTAGATACTTTGCTTTATTTTCGCCTATCTCTTCTGCTTGAATTTCCAAACCCAAGAAGCCGAAAGCACTGCTGATATTTATTTATTTACGACATTTCTACCCCACCTTTCTCACCCCAGAGGGGACTCAAGGTGGCTTTACATACAGGCAACAATTCGATGCCCTAAAACACAACCCCAGAATTCACAAATATTGTCATTTCTTTTGTAAAAAATTGTGCCTCTTCCCATTTGGTTTCAGTAAGGTAAGACGAGCATTCACATTCACCTGCTGCTATATGTGTCTTGTTTTAGCCTCAGTGGGACCCAACTGAAATTAGAATGTGAATTCATTATATAGGAGACATGTTACACTTAGACTGCTCATAATTGAAAGGTTCATGACAAGAAAATAGTGAGAAAGTGCTTTATCGGGACTAATTAAAATGCCATAACAGTGTGCAAGCTTCTGAATTATTCAGAACTGTAAATTAGGTTCAGTAGTGGTGGGTGGAAGGGATGCAGAGAAACAAGGAAGTCCAAAATTTAGTCTAGGTACTGATGTTGTGACAGCTGCAGATCCTATTTCAAGATGGAGATTGTGGCTTAAGTGAATCGCTGTCAGATGTCCATTGAGTAAATAAAGTTTTAGCAATGTATGCTGGGGCAAAGTAGCAAGAAACAGTATTCTTTTCTGAAGATGCAGAGGGCTTCTCCGTACCTTGGAGAAGACACAATGGTTCCTGAGTTGGCACAGAGCAGAGGCACAGATAAGTGTGCCAGTCCTAATATAGCCTGGAGAAGGAGGAGCAAGGACAGTAGCAACAGCAACAACTTGTTTCATTACCAGCAGGCAATTGTTGAGACTTCTCCAACAACCCCCCTGCTTCCTCTTTGGCATTGGAAACCTTCTTTTCATAGCTGCATATCTCTGTAACCTATATCCTCCAAAACTTCCTATCCAAACCACAGGAGAGAAATGGAGAACTGCTACTGTCTACACTTTGCTCCTCTCCTTCAGATCTCCCCACTGTCTAGATCTGGAACCGTTCTGTTTCTACTTTGAGTAAGCCCATGTGGCAGCAGTAGGCTGTAGGTGGGCTGTAGGGTGGTTTTTAAAAACCAAGCTTTATTTGCTCCTTGATGTAGAACTCATTAGCTTAAAATGTTATGCCTTCCAGATGTCTTGGACTACAAGTCGCATCATACCCAACCAATATGGCGGATGGGATGTTGGGCTGTGCAGCTGAGTATATTTAGGAAGCACTGGATTGTGTAAGACTGTGTAAGTATGAGGGGTATTTTTAAAGTAAGGTCCATTTCGTTGCAGATGCTAGTAGTTCGCGCGCATACCGCAACGAGCGCGTGCGTCATGTACTGGCATGCCTCGGGAACAACTGTGCTCAGTTTCCACTCTGTAGCTAACCTGTACAGTTCTGTTCTGTGCTTTAAAAATGTTTAAGACTATCAACTCACCCGCCGCATGTGAGGTTCGCTCAGTGATACGGTTTTTGTTAGCAAGGAACCTGCCTGCTGCAGAAATTCATCGACAGATTTGTGAAGTGTATGCTGATTCTGTTATGAGTGAAAGCAAAGTGCGTAAGTGGGTACGACAATTCAAAGATGGCCGTGACAATGTCCATGATGAGGACCGCTCCGGTCACCCTTCTTTGATTACAGACGATTTGGTTATCGGAGCAGGCGGCAAGTTTTTATGAAGAGGGTATTTTAAAATTGGTTCAGAGGTATGATAAGTGTTTGAACAAACTTGGAAACTATGTCGAAAAATAGAGTGAAGTATGTACTTTCTGAAAATAAATTTACTTTTTTGAAATAAACTTTCATTGTGAACTTATGTTCCAACGGACCTTACTTTAAAAATACCCCTCGTATATTCTTTGGGTGCAGGACTGAGACTTCTGAAATATATACAGAAAGCACTTGCTGCTGTGTTAAGATTGTGTAATGTTTCCTAATATGAAGGACTTTCATCTGCTGTTGTGGCAAATGGTAATTCCTATACCAGGTGGACTGAAATTACCTGAATTTAAGAGACTGCACAACAGGCCTATGGAATTATATTTCACCTCTGGACCCATGCTTTCATCTTGGAGAAGTTTATGTATGTTCTGAACTAGGCTGGCCTCTTTAAACTCTTCTTTGATGATTTCTGTAAAGGAGAAGAAATGTTTGAATATAATCAGCTCTCTAAAGACATTTCCAGAGATAAAGATCATACCTTTTTGTGCCATTTTTTTTAAAAAAAGACCAATGTGCAGCTTTCTGTGTTAACTAGACATCCAATCCTAGAAGCCTTAATTTTAAAAAAGGTTCAGAAAGCCAAGACTTCTAGGAACATCACAAAGCATTTAAGCTCCAAAAGTCCTACCTCATTCCTTGTATTTCTACTTTTCACTGTTCAAAAAAATATCAGGATCAGGAAAACATTGTGGGACAGCAGGATCATAGGTTTGGTCTCACATACTTTGGTCATGGGCCAGGCTTTGCCCTTCATTGGGAACCATTGTTGGGCAGGGGGGTGTAGGTTTTCTCACCACACACTTTAATCAAAGGACAGGCTTTGCTCCTATTTGCTCTACCCCATGTAGGGAAAAGAGGAGCAGAGAAGTAAAGCACACCCAAGATTGAGTGGGACTACAATCCAGTTCAAGGCAGATAGTGGATTATCTGCTTTGATAGTCTGGATTATATGGTAGTGTAGATCCAGCCTCAGTCAGCTCCTAGAAGTGGCACTAAGATCTAAGAAAGATATCCCTACTGTCTCAAATCGATGACCAGGAAGATTGGGAAGAAAAGGAATGGGATGATAAGATCTGGATCCATTCTATGATCTGGATCCATCCCACTATAGCTACTTCTTATCTAAGGTCATTTCTACACTTCCATATAATCCAGCAGGCATGTAGCCGGGGGGGGGGGGGGTTGAGGGGCTTCAGCACCCCCCCCCCCCGAAATTCTCATGGTGGTTCGCGAAAAGGCCTTACTGGTGCATTATTTAAACTGTTATGTTTATTCATATCATGATCTGATCACCATACTCAATATATCCCATATGCATGGGGATATTGGGGTAATGATACAAAAGGTTTGCTAGGCTAGACCCTCTTTCACTCAGACTCAGCCCCCCCCGAAACTCAGCCCCCCCCGAAACCCCCCCTGAAAAAAATTCAGCCCCCCCCCCGAAACGAAATCCTGGCTACGGACCTGTAATCCAGATGATCAAAGCAGAAAATCCACAATATCTGCTTTGAACTGGATTATGAGTCTACACTGCCACATAATCAAGTTCAAAGCAGATAATCTGTATTTTACATGGCAGTGTAAAAGGGGCCTTAGTCAATATAATTTATCTGCAAAACAAAGCCTCTGTAGATAGGTATAATGCTGCTCCTCGCTGCTCCATTCCTTGAACTCTCTTTAAACACAAATCTTGTTAGCTCTGCTAAACAGTACATTTCTGACTTCCCTGTTTGTGTTGGGCCAACGCCTAATAGGGCAGCTTCAAGCCAGCCAAGTCGAGACAAAGAGAGGTGGATGGGGCACATACTTTTTCACAGACATGCCAATCTTGTGTATAGAAATCACAGTCATTACCAGGATGAAGCTTGGGGAAATGTCATGGTTGTTGTAGATGAAGGAATTTCAGCAAGTATTGCTTGTTACCTGGTTGCATGACAAGCAACATCTGCAGAAAAATCCCTTAAAAAGAGGGGGATGCCTGCAGTTTCCAGTCTGGTGGCTCTCTCTATAAGCAGACTGGGGGGGGGGGGGGCTTTATTAATGGCATATATTTTGTTGGGAGTATGCTTATGGACAGTGTCTGGGAAGGCCATGAATACCTAAGTCAATTGCAGAAGCAATGGCCAAAGCAATCAGGGCTTCATTTTGCATTATAGCATGCTCGCTGGTTGCCATGCAAACTAGGTGCTTCATGGCTCCGGCCTCTTGAATGGCTTTGACAACTTCCTGTTTAGAAAATGAGAAAAAGAGGGGGGGGGGAGAGAATTATTATAATAATAATAACAATAATAACAATAGAGAAATCCACAGGAATGTTGCCTATGAATAGGGCAGGAGCTCTGCTTTTCCTTCCCCACCCTCCAACCAATGATTACAACATTGAAAATGACAATTGCTTTTCATTTTCATTTATATCTTATTTTTCCTTTAAGAACTTTATGCTTAGCAGTAACATGTTTAAAAAATTTCCATTAATAACAAACGCAAAACTGCACAGCTTTGAGCCCTGTCCCAATTACATGTTTAGCTCTCTCTATACAGTAATACCTTGACTTAAGAGTTTAATTCATACTGTGACCAAGCTCTTAACTCAAATGCTCTTATCTCAAAGTGAATTTATTATTGAAATGATATTAATCTGTTCCCTGCCCTCCCATTTTTGTTACGTATTTTTAAATAAGAAAATGTACTTTATAAATACAATAATAATAATAATAATAATAATAATAATAATAATAATACTTTATTTGTACCCCGCTACCATCAATATACACAATAATAACAACAATACAAGCAATTAAAATAAAAAAAAACATGGACAATAAGATATGCAACATTAACAACAAGACAGCACACAATTAAAACTGTGAGAAGGCCAAATGTAAAATTAAAATTGAAAATAATGCTGGAGCATGGGAGAAAAGCATATATTATATATAAATAATATATAATTGCACATTCACGTGGAATAATAAAAAGAAAGATCAACTTTAAATGGTCAAAGCACAAAATTGTGGAAAGGAAGCACAGAGTGAAGAGGCAGAAGTATCCTTTTCTTCATACTATATTCATTCCAGCCTCCCTTCCTCTCTTGCTTTCTTTCCTTCTCTCTCTTCATAAAGCTTAATAAAAACACAAAGTAAACTAACTCAAAGTTCCTCAAAGAGAATAAGAGCAAAGTGGATAGCAATCTCCCAAAGTGGATGAGAAAATGAGGCACAGAGGTTGCTCCCTTGAAACCCTAAAGTCCTGTACTCTGTTACTAGCTCTTAACTCAAAATGCTGCTTTTATGTTAAAGCAAAACCTGCAACGAGCAACAGCTCTTAACTTGAAGTGCTCTTCGGTGGAATCTCAACTTCAGCTTCAGCAATACAGAAGCAGAGTCAAGCTTTAAAGTTACAAAATACATATCTATATAGGAAAGTTAGGGCCTAGCTATCTAACTGTCAAGCTTTCTGGAGACATCTTGTCTCTCTCCATGTTTACAGGGAAAAAGAAAATCAAGTTGATAGAAGGAGAGAATAGAGTGACAGGCATACAAGGAGGGCAATGGAGAAGGGCTTTATTTGCCCGCTAACTCAACTGCCTATCTAAGTCCTTGATGAAGACTATAGACTTGTGTAGGATGTGGTTACTGAGACATCTGTAAACAGGAGTTCCACACATAAAATGATACTTGCAAACGGATCAAAAGCCATCCCCATTCATACTTGAGAACGACTGTGGCGTATGAGCGAAGCCAGCAGCCGGTTTGCTTCTCCGCAGACTCCAGCATGGTCCTTTGAATCGCACCATTGCACCAGCCGGCTTAGCAGCATGAGATCTTGGCCCAGTTCCTCTGCTGCATCAGCTGAAAGACAAAGACTGGGATGTTGTGAAGAGGTCCTGGGATGCGGCAGCTGTTTGTTCTCCCTTTTTAAAAACTTTAATTGCATACAGCTTTTAAAATCATTATCTGCAGACACAAACAGTTTACGCGCTATGAAAAAGAGCTTTCATATCATCTCAAATGGAACATATTTTGATGGAGGAAAGCCATGCAGTCGGGAAAGGATTAATTTATTTTATCTAACTTCTATACCAAATCAATGAGATATATCTGGACAGTGACAAATGATAGAGGAAAAAATTTGGAAAACCAACATGTGCTTTCACATACATCACTTAATAGCTCATGGTTCTTGACTTGCAAATGAATATGTGGAGTGCCTTCCTTGAGAAACTTGGCATTTTAGATTAAGTGAGGAGATGAGAAAATCCTGCAATGATTCATTTACACAGATAAGTACATTCTTTGATGTTGCAGTCAGCAGGGGATAAATGTGCACTCGTGTGAATGCAGGAAGGGTTTCTATTGGAAAATATTCAGTATGAACCAGTGTGGAAATTCTGTTGGAGGGCTTTCCATCCGACAGCCTATTTACACAGGCATGTCTGACTCTGGGGTGTGGTGTTCATCTCCATTTCTAAGCCAAAGAGCCAGCATTGTCCGTAGACACCTCCAAGGTCATGTGGCCGGCATGACTGCATGGAGCGCCGTTATCTTCCCGCCGGAGCGGTACCTATTGATCTACTCACATTTGCATGTTTTCGAACTGCTAGGTTGGCAGAAGCTAGGGCTGACAGCAGAAGCTCATGCCACTCCCCGGAATCGAACCTGCGACCTTTCGATCAACAAGCTCAGCGGCTCAGTGCTTTAACCCACTGCGCCACCGGGGGCTCCCTTACACAGGCATGTTACCACTCAAAAAATGCAGTTCTCAGGTGAGAAATGCATGTATGTAAACTGGTGACAGTTTCAGAAAGGTATAGCAACAATCAAAAAAGTAGTTTTGTCAACAGTAGAGATATGTATTCAGGATAAACCTTGTCCTGTTTTGTGTCCTGACTTTTGTTGGGGGCCCCGATCCATTTTTTTGTAAGCCTCCTGAAATTGGGAGGGTTGTTTTCACTTCTTTTGTTTCGGGGTCCAAACATTGGACCATTATGAGGGAGGGGCTTTCTACCCACTGGCTCCCCTTCCCAGCATGTGTTCTTCTTACCTAACACCTGCTGTTTCTACTCGAGAGTAAGAGGTGTTCTGCTATAGGCACTGGCACGGCACACATGCTTTCTGAATCTGTCTGCATGCCATGCCACAAAAGCACTCTCCTTGGAAAGAGTGTGTGTATGTGTGGCGGGGCATGCAGACAGTCCTGGAAAATGCACATACCTGCTAGTGCCTGCAGCTGAGCACCTCTTACTCTAGTTTAAGAGATGCTCAGCAGCAGACGGACTCTGGGCCTGCCTGCATGCCCTGTCACACACGTGCTCTCCTTGGAAAGAGAGAGTGTGTGTGGTGGGGCATGCAGGCAGGAAGGCAGGCCCGGAGCTCGGCTGCAGGCACTCTTTGGGCTTGCCTGCACACTCTGCCACACATGCCCCACCACAGTTTCTGAGAGTGTGTGCGTGGCAGGGTGTACAGGCAGGCACGGAGCACGCTTGCAACCGAGCTCTGGGCCTGCCTGCCTGCATGGCCCACCACACATACACTCTCTTTCCTAGGCAAGTAGGCAAGTTCGGATGCATACAAAAGCAGGCTTTCGTGTGGAGCAGATTTTTGTGTGGGAGGGGGCTTCCCATTTTGTGCTTCCGAAGAAATGGAAGACACAAAAGAAATGATAGAAATGGTAGGAACAAATTTTGCACACATGTTTAGTCAACAGGCATGTAGAAACTTGATTCACACAAATGCATTCTTCAGAAGAGATCCCATGTCAATGTGTAGGCAGTCAATGGTTTGCTTCTAGAGATGTATGGATAGGAGAATTCCTGTTGGTTTGTGTTGCTGAAAACCTATTAATAGTAAAAGTTCAGATTCCCTCAAGAGAGGGGGGGGGGGATTTCTAAATTCAGCAAGCATCAACACACCAGGCAACAATTGCTGTAATGAATTTAGATTAGACAACACAATCAACTAATTTAGCAGAGACCTGTTAAAAGACACACATCCACAGGGGTGTTTTGTATAGAGTTAATTAATGTTGGCTTACTGATAAATAGAACAGATGGCAATTGAGGTGGGAGGCTTCTGGGTTCCTTGCCATAAAAGGGTAAACCAGAACCAAGAGTTGGGTGGTTTCTCCTTCTTCCTTGGCTTTTACTAGACAGGATCACTTATGTTGCCTTGAATTCTTACAGCGGCTTATTTTGAGGGGTAGGAGCAGGAAAATCTATAATAGGGATGTAAATCTTTGACTAGTTCATTCGCGCATGTAAGGAGAAATAATTGCTGTAGATTATTTGCAGTGGGAAAAAATAAATGTTTCACCACAGTATTTACCCTGTATTTGAATGTACTGAAGTGTTGCAGAGGAATTGTTTTATGGGGGGAAATATATGGCCTTTTTGCACTGAAAACATGTTTTGTGTGCAGTAGACTTGTCTCCTATACACTAAGCATTGATTTAACTAAGCATTGATTCCTGCTCAAAAATAAGTGGTATAGGGTTGCATAAAATTATGTTGTTCTTCACTCAATCATTTCAGTGCGTTATCATGTATTATGTTATTCTATAGTATAGTACTCTATTTCACTGGTTCTCAAAATGTGCTCTGTGGAGTCCTTGGGGCTCTACTAAGCATATTGAGGGGCTCTGCAGTTTCCTTCTCCTTTCCCTCTCCTCCCCCTCCTCCTTCCTGATCCTCCCCTTTCCCCTGCCTTCCTTGCCCCAAAAGCCACCCCTCCACTTCCTCATTGCCCAGATCCTTTCCCCCTTGCTTTGCTTGGTTCAAAAACTTTATTTTCTTCCTACTGCTCAGGGGGTGCTTTGATTGTGCTTTTTCTGCATGGAAGAAGGGAGTTGGACTGGATGTCCCCTGGGGTTGCTGATATTATTATTATGGTTACAAAGGCTGGATGGCCATCAGTTGAATGTGCTTTGTTTTTGCTTTTCCTGCATGTGCTTTGTTTGTGTTTTTCCTGTTGTGGCTCCATGAGAAACTTTTTCTTCAAAAAGGGCTCCACGGATGAAAAAGATTGAGAAATCTCGCTCTATTCAAGCAGTGTATTATTCTATAGCATGTTATCCCATGTGAATTGGGAAGATATGTGTGCTTATTCTGAAGGAGATATGGGTAGTATACAGGTTGAAAATCACTTATTCAAAGTAGATTTGCATATATGTACCCAATGAGATATCTTAGAGATGGGATTCAATGAAAAAGAATTCTATATAAGGGATGCTCAACTTGTAACTTCTAATAATCTATTCATTAAGCTCCTGAAAATCATTTGAATAAGAAATGACACTTAATCCTCAACAAGTGTTAATGTAACGTCAGATTGAAAATGAGTAATCATGGCTGTAAAAGAGTCCTCCACATTGTGCGACTATGGAGCAGAACAAACAATTCCATACCTGTATGCTTGTCCACAATGTCCTGCCTCATGTACAGAGGAAAAATTGTTTAAAGCGAAAGACAATGCAGTCGCTGTTGCCTGGTTTTGGTCCAAAATTATTTAGCTGTTTGTGCTCCTTCTATTTTTATCAGTTTTAAACTTACGTGTGCAATGCTTTTGACACAAAATAAATAAATGGAGGTAGGATTTGCAATGGTAGGTTTTGACTCAGAGCCTGATGCCAGTCATGATGAAGCATCTTAAAAGTGTCTCCTTCCAGGAGGCAAGCAGGAGATGTACTGTGTGTGGGATCTAGAGAAAAGTAGGCTGCTGGCTCATCCTGTGTGAGATAAACTAGGTCTTTTTATATAAAATAAATTGCTTATTTAGCAGTGTGGTTCCCAGGTATAATATGACTCATGAAAGAGCAACAAGAACTCAGAACACCGTGTTCTACTTGGCTTCCAACGTAGTCACTCTGCAGCCTATTCACTGGAGACAAAACCTTTAAGGCTCACAGTCAATCCCTCACCAACCAGTTCTCCTCACCATTCAGTTAATTTTAACAGTTCCTCCACTTGTTTTTATCCTGACAAATGGTCCAACAGCCGGCGGTTTGGAACCTCTATATATCCATCATCCACTGCTGTGAAAAGGCCCTTAAGCATATCCTAGCTCTGATGCAGAAGCCTGACACATTGAGCTTTCCATACTTGTAAGAGCATTTATCCTGCTGTATTATGAAGAGAATGTTTCTTCTGTTATGCAGTTCACAAATGAACCCTAAGGAGTGGCAGACCTTGGCATTTTCCTACCTTGACCATCCATCAACATTCGTAATGTTCCAAGAAGTTTAAACTGAACAGGGGGCATATCTGATCTCAAAAGCATCTGGATCCGCTTAGCAACCCCTTCGTCCAACATTTGAACCTTGTTAGCCACTGGAAAATGAAAGAAAAAGTTAGGCATGAATATTTATTAAAACTAATTTTCAAAACAACAAGCTGCCAAAATAACAAGCGGCCAAAGCAGACGTGGCTAATATTTTTACAATATCTGCACATTCAAAAGTTGTCAAAGCAACTTGTTGTTAAAGGTTTTGGATAAACTCAATAGTATCATGAGTTTGACATGGGTTGCAAATCAAAGTTGTTGTAACACATATATAAAGTAATCACTCCTGGCCTTAGTTAGAAAGATATAAAAGAAAACCTTATGAAAAAATAACATAGCATGTTTCTTTTCTTCCAGATTGACTTTTTAATAAGTTAATATAATTCAAGATATTAGTGATGAATCTTTACTTATTTCATTTCTCTACATAACAATAAAGAACATTCCGATATTTTTCCACTACCAGGCAAGATTGTGAGAAGCTCCAAGACCCCATGAAAATGTGCAAGACAGAAAAGATTTTGCACAGAAAATTAGGGATTTCTGTACAAAATATCCTTGCAAGAATTTTGTTCAAAGTAAGATTTTGTGAAAAAAATTCCCAGAGTTACACATTTTTTTATAAAAAGCCTTGTATTACAAAACAAACAAACAAAAGAAACCCACCCAGGGAGAAATGATGGTCTTGTAGGTTAAAAAAAGAGTTAAATTGTAACAGCATGAACATGCATGGGCTAAATGTTTATACATGAGAATCATTCACCCATGCATAAATGTGTGGAGAACAACTCATGTTTCTAAACTCCATGAGTTTAGAACTGTTGTGTAACTATGGAGATGAAAACAGAACCCTGAACTCCTGTGAAGAAGGGGAGAACAGAAACCAAGCTAACAAGGCCAATAACAACAACAGTATTGTCCCACAAGAAGGACGGTAATCAAGTCAATCAATACAATTGAACTTCTGTTTTTAGAAAGAGCCTTTGATGTTGAAGGACACATATATGATTTGGCAGCTCAGGTTTGTGAGAGACAATAAGAGATGGTTTAAGATAGGGGTCCACAAACTTTTTCAACAGAGGACCAGATCACAGTCCCTCAAACTATTGGAGGGCCAGATTATAAATTGAGAAAAAAAATGAAAAAATTCCTATGCACACTACACATAGCTTATTTGTAGTGCAAAAAACACTTTAAAGCAATACAATAATTAAAATGAAGAACAATTTAAACAAATATATACTTATTAGTATTTCAATGTGAAATGTGGGCCTGCTTTTGTCTGATGAGATAGAATTGTTGTTGTAGTTGTGTGCTTTCAAGTCATTTCAGACTTAAGTTGACCCTGAGCGAGGGCCGGGTGAATGACCTTGGAGGGCCGTATCTGGCCCCTGGGCCTTAGTTTGAGGAACCCTGGTTTAAGAAATAGCTGAAATAGTTGGACATGTTCATCCTGGAGCAGAGAAGACTTCAAGGGCTGTCATAGAAGGAAGACCAAGTGTAATGGTTTTAAGTGACAAGAAGGTTGATTTTAATTGAACATTAGAAGGGACTTCTTGACAGGGAGAGCTGTTTGAAAATAAAACTAATACCCTAGAGAGAGTATTCAAGCTAGGCAGCTATCAATGGGGGATGCTCTAGCTGTATTTCCCATGATGAAGTTGGACTCAATGACCCAGAAGGCCCTTTCCAGCCCTATATTATTTTTTTGTATCATAACTGAATGATTAGACATCATAACACAGACCTGAGAGCTGAATCCTCCCACAACATCACTTTATGTGGCTAGCGAGGCTTTCAATGCCAGGGCAACATAGTTCCATTTATACAGTCGTATAATTACAAACAGTCCTTTGAAGGCAACCGTAAGGTTGATGTGGGTCCTCGGTGAAAATGGGTTTGACATCCTCACCATAACATATGCTTATAGTTCAAATTCCCTATCTTATATCTATTTATCTATCTGAGTTGGAGCAAGTTTTTCTTCTCCCTTCTTTGTTGTCTCCCAACCACTCTTTTGGTGAACTCATCCCAATTAAAAATGAAGAGTCAACTCCTTGGAAACAGATGTTCACTATCTAGCAAGCAATTTCTGGACAGGCTGTGTACTCTTTTGCTTCCCAAAGGCAAGTACAGCAGGCAGGCATCCCTTGTAAGCATTTTAATCATGCTGTGAGACTAATGGTTAATTAACTTGTTTTTAATTTCGTTGGGCTTTGGTCACAGAAAGTTCAAACTTTGGGCCTTCAACAGTAGCAGCATTTTCAGAGAGAGCTCCCTCGACAGGCCTCTGAAGATTTAATCAATTACACTACTTGTGCCTGTCCATATATTTTTAAAAGACTGTCTCTAATTGATTAATCAAATGTTCAGCTTGACTTTTCATCTGTGTTTTTGCTTCTTATTTTTAGAAGGCACATTAAGGACTTTATCCCATGCAATAAAATCAGTGTTTCTATATGTTTAAGAAATGGCTACTGACAGAGCCCATCACATGGTGCAAGCGCGTTCCAGGTATTTCGCTGTTTCTAAAATGTGTGTTTTTGTATGCTTCCTAAGTTGATTGGCAGTTGACTTCTTTTTTAATTCCCCATGTAGAGATGTGTAAAAACATGAAATTTAATGTGTGATGTGAATTCCCCATTGCCCGATTGTAAAGGTAATTATTATGTTGTTCTGGAGCAGTGGTTCTCAACCTGGGGTCCCCAGAAGTTTTTGGCCTACAACTCCCAGAAATCCCATCCAGTTTACTAGCTGTTAGGATTTCTGGTAGTTGACGGCCAAAAACATCTGGGGACCCCAGGTTGAGAAGCACTGTTCTGGAGGGAGAAGCTGAGATGGACGTTATAGTATCCTTTCTTTCACCATAATCTTTAAAACCAAGTAGGGAGGAACTGCAATTTATATCTTTTTTAACAATAAAATTCAATAGTTACCTTTTGAATCGAGAGATATTACTACTTATAAATTGTAATATAAAATAATATAGAAGAAATCCCATGTAATGATCTTGCATTAAAAAGTACTTCTGCGAGAACAAACACAGAGGAATCTTCAAGTAAAAGAAAATGGGGATCCTGGCATGATGGTCTACTTGGATACACTTCTTCTCACTTAGTGATTATTTCAGATTGGTGGTATTTAGTAAGTTCATGAGCAATGATAGGCCTAAATACCGTAAAGCCACCAGATCCCTTCTGATCTTTGAAGTGAAAATGTGCTGTCGCACGCTGGGCCTGTGCATAGGACTGTAGACAGGACATACATTCTGTGTGCCCAACGGGACGCCGGGGCCGCCTCAGATTAAAGGCCTTTGGATTTCCTTAAAACAGAATCTTTAGATTGCTTAAAGGTTCAACAAAGTTCTTTAGTAATGAAAACAAACAGGTACTTTAAGGCTTTCTTTACAGTCTATTGGCTCTCTCTCAATCTTGTCCACAGGTAATAGGCATTATCTTCATAACTGTAACTAATGGGGAAATCCTTAACTTCTAATCTGGGCAGTCTGTCTTTGCCTCTGTTGGCATGGAGCCCCTACACCCGGTACCAACTGCTTCTGGCTTCCGTGAGTGACCCTTACCAAGCAGAGCTTTGTAGACTTCCAGGGGAAAAGGAATTCAGGTTTCCATGATGGCTGACTGAAGTCCTTCAGCAAAGGAGCTGTAGGGCTGTATATCTCTCCGGCCAAGCTGTAGACGACGAAGCTTTCTACAGGAGCTCTTGGTATTATGTCCTGCATGAAAAGCTTCTCTGTGTGGACTGAACCCAAAATGTCTCCTATTCCCTCTAAAACCCAAAAAGGGGGCAGGACCAGAGAACCTAACTATAATTGACAGGTGGCTTGACCTATGATTGCAACCAAAAGAAGCCACCTATCTGCAGAGCCCCTGAAACTTAGGACTATAACAAACATTCAATGCAAAGCAAACAAAATTGGAGCTCCTGGTACAGTTGTACCTGCACAGAAGAAGAGTCAGCATTGGTTATTATTTGGATGGGATTCTACTAGGTGTTGTAGGCAACATTTCAAAGGAAGGAACTGGCAAAAACACCTTTGAGAATTCCTTCCCTATGAAATTAATAGGATCCTCATAATGTGATGTACAACTTGAAGACACACACAAACACACATGGGAGAGGATCTCAGCAGCTACTGGGTCCCTGGCATGGTGGACATATGGCTGGCCACTTTTTTAAACCTGCTGTGACTGGAGCAGTAGACACTAGAAGGCTCAAGGAAGTAACAAGACTCAAGCACAAAGGAAAAAAAATATTGCATTACAGTAACATTATTCTTGATTAATGATCAGCATTTTTCATTCTTCACGTTGATTATTGACCATTTTAATCATTTTAAATGGGGTAATAATTTCAGTGATTTAATGAATTAATTAGCAAATTAATTAACAATTAAAATTAATTCTATAATTTTTCATTGCCTTTAAACACCACTGAGTTGATTTGTCATTATCAACAAAAGTAAATGGATTTGCACCAGCAGTAAACCTTTGAAACTTGCAAACAAGAAATGAGGCATAACTCACCATGCGAAACAAAATATGTTTGGTTTATTGTTTTTTGAATGCAATGCCAAAGCCTCCAATATTTAATACATTAAGAGGGACTGTGCTGTTTAATAGTCACCAGCTTTTGCTGTCCTCATTACCACTACACATTTCTGGCGGCTCTACTCTGCCTGTTGTGCTAACTTTTTATATGGAATCCAAACAAAAGCATAGTTTTGGCCAGTTTTGACCATGTTTGTAATTTACTAATTTCAAAGGAATGGGAACATTTTATTTACAGTTTATTCATTATTGCCTCTGTATATAAAGTCACTAAATGGTGTTTTAATATAATAATTTAAATGCATTCTAAACCTTTTTATTATCAGGTTTTTAGCTAATCTCGTGTTTAGCTTGCATCAGCTGATTTGGAATCTATTCAGAGAAAAAGTTTGTATAGAAAACCAATCAATATATACATAAAATAAAATGCTGACACAATTTGAGCAATAAGAGATGAATTAGGGTCCAATAAGAGGCTGCCTTGAGCTGCTGCTGGGAACGGCAACTTCATATTTTTGGGTATGTTTCCAAAGTGTAATATCTCTGTTGGTTACTTGGGGGAACCAGAGAGCATTGCTTTGTATTTCCTAATGACACAATGGCAAAGACTACTTGTTAATAAGAATTAAGTCAGTGAGTTATCTTTCTGGACTGTAATAAGAGTAATAATTTCGACAGAAGAGTAATAAGTAAAGTAATTTGTTACTGGTGTTTTTTATTTTAAGGAGAAGACATCATAAAATTTATATATGTTTGGAACATTTATAATAATGAGAGAAAACATACAGAAGCTTGTGGGATTTTAAGACCGAATATAATAAATATGTAAAAAGAGAGCAGAAATTAAGATTTTCATTTTTTTATTTCATTAAATAATGTGCCATTGCAGGCTTTAGCCTCCCCCCCCCCCAAATTCTCGTGGTGGTCCACGAGAAGGCCTTACTGGTACATTATTTAAACTGCTATGTTTATTCATATCATGATCTGATCACCATGCTCAATATATCTTATATGCATGGGGGTATTGGGGTAACGATACAAAAGGTTTACTAGGGTAGACCCTCTTTCACTCAGACTCACCCCCCCCCCCCCCCCCCCCCCGAATTAAACTCAGTCCCTACCGAATCAAAATCCTGGCTACGGGCCTGTGGCATTGAATTGTCAGTGAGTTTCTCAATTTAAAAACTTAAAAAAAATATTTAGAGTATGTAGTTTATTTTGATATTTAAATTATAGTAGTTATTTTTGGGGTCTTTTCTTGGTTTTTTCCTTCTACGATGAGGGAGAAAAATGTTCTTTTTCTGGCTATTCTTTTTTTGATTTATCTATTACGCGTTGCTGTGGCCCAGTCTGTATATATGTTCTTTGTGTGTGTATATATGTATATATGCGTGTTTGTGTGTATATATATATATGTGGGTTGTACATTGTAATGTATTCTTTATTCTTTATTTTTGCTTTTTAAGTCTCTTCTGCTATGTTTTTCAGTGTTTTATGAGTGATGGTCACTCGTTGGCCTGATACGTGTATTGTGTCCAGATCTGGTGTCAATTTATCCAGTGATTTTTGAGTGATGTTAATCCCACAAACAAACATTATATTTTTATTTATATAGATTGAAAGGTATTATTTTAATACATTAAAATAATAAAGATGGGAAAGACTGTTTAGTTATGATCATGGATATTATTGTGAAATATGGATATATCACTGTCTCTATACTACCTTTAATAAAATATTAATGAAAAATCTGGTACTGTTGCATTATCTAGATGAATGCCACGAGGGAGTGCTAGAGAGAGAATGTGTCCATTTTCCAGGGGTGGAGGTTTTATTTTATTTCGCGCTTTTCTACCCCGCCCTTCTCAACCCCCAAGGGGGGACTCAGGGTGGCTTACAAAAGGCACAATTCAATGCCAGCAAAACAGATAATAAGATAAAACATATATCAACAACAGTTATAAAACAATTAAAACAATCCAGTTATACATCACAATTAATAAAAACCAATCTAATGATCAACATTCGCCAAGCTCAGAATCCGTAAGTTCATTCCGCATTGTCAAATCCTATCCAATTCTAGTCGTCATTGTCCTTTGTCTGTCTGCCAGATTACCCAAAGGCCTGATCCCATATCCATGTTTTTAGTTTCCTTCTAAAAGAGAGGAGGATGTCGATGACCTAATTTCCCCGGGAAGCGAATTCCACAGGCGAGGGGCCACCACCGAGAAGGCCCTGCTCCTCGTCCCCACCAATCTCACTTGTGATAGAGGTGGGGCCAAGAGCAGGGCCTCCCCAGAAGAGCTTAAATTCTGAGGCAGGACGTAGAAGGAGATGCGTTCGGACAGGTACGCTGGGCCGGAGCCGTATAGAGTTTGGTAGGTCAAAACCAGCACTTTGAATTGTGCTCGGAATTGGATTGGCAGCCAGTGGAGCTGACATAACAGAGAGGTGGTATGTTCCCTGTATGACGCTCTGGTGAGTAATCTGGCCACCGCCCGTTGGACTAATTGAAGTTTCCGAACAGTCTTCAAAGATAACCCCAGGTAGAGTGCGTTGCAGTAATCTATTCAGGGTGTAACAAGAGCGTGGACCAAGGTATGGGTGCAACTGGCGCACAAGTTTTAATTGTGCAAGGTTGGGTTGAACAAGGATAACCATTTCTCCAAGTTTTCCTGTTATTCCCTCAACTTATATCCCTGTCATGGAAACAACCCTTATTTATGATATGGGAAGATGGGAGGGGGAATGACCAGTGAAAATGGGGGAAATGGTTTTCCTCCTTCAACTCCCCCCCTCAATAAAATGGACTATCCTTCTCTTTCTAGTGCCCCCTAGTGGCCTTCATCTGGATAATAGAACCAAAAATCCTTTAAAAAAGTAACATTCCGATTTCTGGATAAAATATGGACAGTATCTTATCAAGGACAGGAACTAAAAGCAGATTATCTATTTCTATCCCATATTTCTACCCCATATTCCTTTCTTTCCTGTTATCATCATATGATACATTTATGTGGCTTTATTTTTTAAATTTTCCTCTCAATCAGACTATTTTCCTTGTGGCATCTGTTGTACCTGGTATAGCCAGGTTCCGAAGAGCACTAAGTGCAGCATGTTGAACAGACACATCTCCATTTTCGACATGGTGCTCCAAAAGGTCAAGAAGCTGATGGACCACCCCTAGCTGCACCATCCGGACACAATTACTGTCTTCAACAAATGAGAAAGAGAGAAAACAGTCAAAAGATTACAACTGGAAACATTATACAGTATCTCAATAACATAAAGGCAAAATTTCAATAATCGGTATTTTAGTTCAGTGTTCCCCAAACTCTGGTGTTTTGGACTTCGACTTCCAGAATTCCTGTTCATCCAGCAAAGCAGCTGAGGCCTTGGGAGTTCAAAACATGATTTCTTCTTGCCTTTTCCCCTTTGTGTCCTGTCCGCTGGGGGCCCATCCACATAGCCATAAAGCCCAGAATATCAAGGCAGAAAATCCCACAATATGTGTTTTTCACTGGGTTATCCACACTGTCATATATTCCAGTACAAAGCAGATAATATGGGATTTTTTTTCAGCTGTGTGGAAGGGGCCATCTACACTGCAATATAAAATGTGAATACTGGGGATGTTTGGGGAAAATAGACCTTGACATTTGGGAGTTGGAGTTGCTGGGGTTTATAGTTCACCTACAATCAAAGGGCATTCTGAAACCCATCAGTATAGATCCAGCCTAAGATTTTCTCTTTGGATCTTCTGTCTCTCCAAATTTAGTTTGCGGCTTATGTTACAGCCAAGCACTTTTTGTTAGATTGGAAATAGGCTCCACTTAGTTTTCCAAAGGCAGTGGGATTTTAAATTCCATAATCTTTAGGCCACATGCCAGTGATGCAAAATAATGGGTCCCATCTACACTGCAATATAAAATTCAGATTATCTGTTGAACTGGATGATATGGCAGTATAGATCCAGTCTGGGTTGCAAGCCTGTGGGCAGCAATAGCAACAATGTCTTAAGTATTTAATCTTAAAGAAACAGACATTCAGAAGTAGCCTTTATATGTATCCAGGAAAAAGAAAAAAAATAGGTCTACGGTCCCTTCTATAAGGTAAAGGTAGTCCCCTGACATTAAGTCCAGTCATGTCTGACTCTGGGGTGTGGTGCTCATCTCCATTTCTAAGCCGAAGAGTCAGCGTTGTCCGTAGATACATCCAGGAAAAAGAAAAAAAATAGGTCTACGGTCCCTTCTATAATGCTATATAATTCAGATTATCAAAGCAGACAATCCACACTATCTACTTTGAACTGCAATATGTGAGTCTACACTGCCATAAATCCAGTTCAAATCATATAATCTAGATTTTATATAGCAATGTGGAAGGGCAGTAAATCAAAGGGGGAAAATCAGGCATTCCTCCTTATATAGTTGACCTGTCTCTCCCAAAACAGACCTACATTGCCATATAATTCATTTCAAATCAGATAATCTGGATTTTATATGGCAGTGTAGATAGGGTCCCATTATTTTGCATCACTGGCATGTGGCCTAAAGATTATGGAATTTAAAATCCCACTGCCTTTGGAAAACTAAGTGGAGCCTATTTCCAATCTAACAAAAAGTGCTTGGCTGTAACATAAGCCGCAAACTAAATTTGGAGAGACAGAAGATCCAAAGAGAAAATCTTAGGCTGGATCTATACTGATGGGTTTCAGAATGCCCTTTGATTGTAGGTGAACTATAAACCCCAGCAACTCCAACTCCCAAATGTCAAGGTCTATTTTCCCCAAACATCCCCAGTATTCACATTTGGGCATATTGAGTATTTGTGCCAAGTTTGGTCCAGATCCATCGTTTAAATCCACAATGCTCTCTAGATGTAGGTGAACTACAACTCCCAAACTCAAGGTCAGTGCCCACCAGGCCCTTCAAGTATTTTCTGTTGGTCATGGAAGTTCTGTGTGCCAAGATTGGTTCAATCCCAACGTTGGTGGAGTTCAGAATGCTCTTTGATTGTAGGTGAACTATAAATCCCAGCAACTACAACTCCCAAATTACAAAATCAATCCCCCCTAACCCCACCAGTATTCAAATATGGGCGTACTGGGTATTTGTGCCAAATTTTGTCCAGTGAATGAAAATACATCCTGCATACCAGATATTTACATTACAATTCGTGACAGTAGCAAATTTACAGTTATGAAGTAGCAACAAAAATAATTTTATGGTTGGGGGTCACCACAACATGAGGAACTGTTTTAAGGGGTCGTGGCATTAGGAAGATTGAGGATACTGCTTTAAAGGATACTTCATACGTATTTATCTGGCATTTAGCTTAAATGTTCAAACCAACTCAACAGCAGAAAACAAGCACACAGCATAACATCAAACAAAAGAAGCAATTATTTCTATTGATCTTATGTAAAGTCTTTTTTAGTTACAGAGAGGAGTAAAAATAGTTTAATAACAGATAAGGAAAACAGATTTCATTACCATTCCTGGCAAAATTAGCAATGGCCAAAGCTCCTGTCAGCTGTAATTGTGTGTGCTTGGATGTCAGCCATATGCCAATGTTCTGGTAGATAGCACCCTTTCCCTCTGCAAACAGCTGCTGCATGGATTCATCTGTAGTACAAGGAATGGAGACAGATTGTGGCTAGTATTACTGCATTGTTGCATGATTTTGTTTGCCATTGTGAAGAAATACCCAATAGCTTTCCTGCAGAGTCTAATAATAATAATAATAATTATTATTATTATTAAGGCCAGGATTGAAAAATCAGCCGATGACCCAAAATGCAGACTGTGCAAGGAAGCTGATGAAAACATTGATCATATCCTCAGCTGTTGCAAGAAAATCACACAAACGGACTACAAACAGAGGCACAACTCCGCGACCCAAATGATTCTCTGGAACTTATGTCACAAGTACCCCCTTCCAGCAGTAAAAAATTGGTGGGATCATAAACCTGCAAAAGTCGTGGAAAATGAACATGCAAAAATACTGTGGGACTTTTGAATCCAGACTGACAAAGTTTGGAAACACAATATGCCAGACATCATGATTGTGGAAAAGAAAAAAAGTTTGGATTATTGATGTCGCCATACCGGGTGACAGTCACATTGAGGAAAAACAACAGGAAAAACTCAGCCGTTATCAGGACCTCAAAATCAAACTGCAAAGGCTCTGGTCATTGGCACACTGGGTGCCGTGCCAAAAGTCCTCAGCCGGCATTTGAAAACAATGAACATTGACAAAATAACAATCTATCAGCTGCAAAAGGCCACCTTACTTGGATCTGCACGCATCATTTGAAAATACATCACACAGTCCTAGACGCTTGGGAAGTGTTCGACTTGTGATTTTGTGATATGAAATCCAGCATAGAGATCTTGTTTGCTGTGACATTTTGTGGTTTTGTGTCAGTAAAATAATAATAATAATAATAATAATAATAATTTTACTGACACAAAAACACAGTATATCACAGCAAATGAGATCTATATGCTGGATTTTGTATCACAAAATCACAAGCTGAACACTTCCCAAGCATCTAGGACTGTGTGATGTATAATCATCATCATCATCATCATCATCATCATCATCATCCTGCTTTTCTCTCTAAACAAGACCCAAAGTAGTTCACAGCATTTTAAAAAATGTAAATCCAGATCCAGCATATATATAAAAATAACCTATACAACCATATATACAATAAGAGATAAATAGCATAAATAAAAACATTTATCAAATACAAATACAATTCTGGTAAATTCATCAATACAGATGGTAAATTTAGCACAATACAGTGAATGTTAGCCTTCCTGATGTTCCAAAACTAAGTCTCTTCATTAAAAGCTTGTGAGAACAGGAAGGTTTTTAGCTGCTTTGTAAAAGATGTCAAGGAAGGAGCTGTTTTGACCTCCTTGGGGAGGGAGTTCCAAAGAGTTGGGGTGGCCACTGAGAAGAGCCCCCTTCTCTCATTGCCATCAACCGCATTTGCGATGGTGGCGGCAACGAGGGAAGAGCCTAGCCAGAAGATCTTAACATTTGGGCAGGTTGGTATGAGGAGATGCGATCAGATAAGTAGGACCTGAATAGTTCATGATATACAACCAAGTAGCCACAGATGATCTCTCTAAACCATGGAATGCAGGCCATGACCTTTTATCAGAAAGGAAGCTAAAGCATCCAGAGCAGCTAACAGATACAGTTTTGATGTCTTGAATCCTGCCTGAGAAAAATGGAAACATATTTGTGGATTCATTCTACTCAGCCATGGGCAAATTCTGGGTGTTTTGGATTTCAACTCCCAGAAATCCCAGCCAATATACCGACTGTTAGGAATTGTAGTAGTGGAAGTCCAAAACACTTGGAGGGCAGAAGTTTTCCCATGACTGGTGTCAATGCACCCAAGACTGTTGGAAGTCCAGAACCTCCTAGAGGTGACTTATCATACATTTTAACCGCATGTCGGGTTATTCTAAACTGTTTTGCAAATAGATGCAACAGAAAAGGATGGACATCCACCATTCCGATTGCAGAAGCTGCTCTAAAGGCAAGATAGTTTATGAAGTGCAGAACAATTTAAAGTGTCACAGCTCAGTCTTCTAATGCCTCACAGCTCTATCTTCATTTTCCAGGATCTTTTACCCAAAGCTGCCACATCATTTTACCTAATAGCAAACTTCTCTTTGTGTGTATCCTACAGTTCTATGACAGTGCAGAAAAATTATATCATGACCTCTGAGGATGCTTGCCATAGATGCAGGCAAAACGTCAGGAGAAAATGCCTCTAGAACATGGCTCTATAGCCTGAAAAAACCCACAAGAACCTATATCATGACACTTTTTGTGAATTGGTTGTTTCTCCGCCACTTTTTTTGGTTGCCCAAAATTCAGAATGCTCATGGCAAACAGCATTTCAGATGTTTGCTGTGAGTATAAACTTTGTTTGCTAAGTCTGCAGTGGCATGAAAAAGATGTGTGTTTTGCATATAGCAAATGAAGCAGTGTGGGATATGCAATCTGGAAAAGGGAAAATCCCATTGGCACAATGGGAACTGTTCTTATTCTAAATGAATTACAAAGATATTTGAACTCTATTTTGACAATAAGCCACTGGGGGACTAGAGATAAGTGGAGCTGGTTAACTAAAAGAGAAATCAATTAACACATTGTTTCCACTGAATAGTTCTCACTTTTCCACAGAATATTAATGATAACAAAGCAACCATTTTTTCTAAGATTCGCTTTCTATGCTTCACCCATAACTGTCTGTCATCCTCAAGCTAGAAAGTATTAAGTAAACAAGTGGATAACTAATTGGATGTCTGTTTTACATGGATTGCATTCTGTTTATAGTAATTACCCTAATTGTGTGACCATAAAGGGGATGAGTTGCAATTCCCTAGTGTCTACAATTGGAACAGATGCCAAAAGTTTTCTTTTTGTCTTGTTAAGACAAAATAATAAGAAATACCAATGAAATCCTTTTGATGAAATACCTTCATTAGATGAGCAACCTTTAACCCACAAATGCCAAACTATGTGCTATTTTAAGAGGGACCCCCTCCCAAAGATTTCTGTTACTGTAATATGGTATGTGTTGATGTTGTGTGGACAGTATCTCAAAATGAAGAAAGCTAAGTGAGATTTAATAAAACTTTGAACCATCCTTAGCTAAGCTTGGGCAATTTTTTTATATTACCCCCCCCCCCCAAAACCCCCTCCGTATCTTGGGAGGTCTGACTTGACCACAGTGGTCCACACTATGGCACTATATGTGGGGTTGCCTCTCAAGACTGCCTGGAAGCTTCAGCTAGTCCAGCATTTGGCAGCCAGGTTACTCACGGGAGTGGTGTACAGTGACAACCCCTCTGTTTCGCCCAGCTCCACTGGCTGCCTATTAGCTTCTGAGCACAATTCAAAGTACTGGTTTTAACCTATAAAGCCCTAAACAGTCCTGGCCCAGTTTATCTGTCTGAATGGGTCTCCCCCTATGAACCATCAAGGGCTTTAAGATCATCTTAAAGCCCTTGATGAACCATCAAGGGCTTTAAGATCATCCGAACTGCTCTCGGTCCCACCACAATCATAGTCACGTCTGGTGGGGATGAGAGACAGAGCCTTCTCTGTGGTAACCCCTTGGCTCTGGAACTCCCTTTCTAACTCCCTCTTGACCTTCTGAAAGAAGCTTAAACCCTGGCTGTAGGAGCAAGCGTTTGCAGATTAGACTATTTTTATTGGCAATTATGAGATTTTACTGGACCGCAATTTGGATGGATTTGGATGATATTTTTAACTGGTGAACTGTTTTAATCTATATTTATATTTTTAATGTATGGATTGTATTTTATTATATGTTTTATTGTTTTGGCATTGAATTGTTGCATGTTGGTTGCCACCCTGAGTTCCTCTTCAGAGGTTGAGAAAGGACGGGGTACAAATCTTCAAAATAAATAAATAAATAAATATGATAGAAGCTGTTCAAGCAACAGTAGCTCTGGGTTGGAAAGAGCATTCAATTGGTTTGAATATTTAGCGGACTTTATGCTCAGAATTACATTTTCAAAAAGAGAATTAACAGGCCATTTCAAGAAGAATTGGGACTCAAAATGGGGAATCTTGATAGCTAGAGTAAATGGAAAAAGAAAATATCAAGAATTGAATCATACTTTCTCCATAATTGATCAATTAAAACATTACTTGATTTGAGGATACAACTGTTCCCGGAGAGTGAGGGTGAGGTGGGGAGGGAGGGAGGAGAGAAAATCTTTCAGACTCAAGTGGGAGATAAGTGTGGAATTGATAAGGTAAAAAAATAGGACATATTAAATTGACAGAAAATGTAAGTGGAATATTATTATCTGTTTGTTCTATTTAAGCTTGCAGGATTGTCACTGAGATTTGTATCATTGAACTTGTGTTTACAACAACAACAACAACAACAACAACAACAACAACAACAACAACAACAACAGACAGATTTAAAAAAGCTTGGGAAAATTTTATCACATGTAGGTGGTTTCAGCAGCAGCCTTTGATAGAATGAGATATTGGAGACTACTTGAGAAGTATGCTACTTTGCACCTCATGAAATTTTGTTCCCTAACATGGGTGACAGTGGAGGGATTCACCAGGCATTGTGGTGAATCTGTGGGGCAGGGGGGAATCCGACACCCTGCACACCACATTGCCCACAGTGTCACCTTCCCCATCACATGGGAGAAACTGTCACTGTCTGGTTTTCCGACGTGCTGTCTCCATTGCTGGCAAGAAGAACACAGGAAGCCTCCCATGTTCTCCTTGCTCCGTTGTAGGACACCGAGAGCACAGTTCCTGGATGGAAACCCGCTAGAAGTAGCTGTGCATCATGTGAAGGTATCTGTTGGGCTCCACCCAGAAACTGTGCTCTCAGCACATTACAATGGGTTTGAAAGCCCATGTGATGGAGTCCTTAATGAATAAATATATAGGTGAGCAGATGACAAGTATGTATAACATAGACAGTACTCAACTCAATGTGGGATCAATTCAGTATTGCACTTCACATGGAACACGGATTGGAATTCCCAAAACCTTCATGCTCTCCACTACAAATCACACTATCACTTTTGGTAAACACTGGGCTGCTTTTGGTAAACACTGGACCCTTGTGCCATATAATCTACACTGCCATATAATCCAGATTATCAAAGCAGAAAATCCACATTATCTGCTTTGAACCAGATTATATGAGTCTACACTGCTATATAATCCAGTTCAAAACAGATAATCCAGATTGTAGTAGGGGCCTTTGTGAGGTAGCACAAGGACATCATGGTTTCATTATATACTATGGAACTAACAAAATGCACAAAGGCTTTTGTGTGACAGGTCCCAGATCCAAGTTGGAAAGTAAGTGTAGAACAGATGGGGCAATGGGCATCATATGACGCTTAAAGCAATCTTCTGAAATCCAGTGACTCATTAGCAAAATATTTTTCAAAGATGTGTTTTGAACTTGTTTTATAGCCACATTTGGGGAAGAGGTGGACTTGAGCTCTGGACCCATAAAAGTTATCCTAGAGAAAACGAATTTGCTTTCAGTTATCTAGCAAGCACTCTTTTCATTAATCTTTTTGAGACTGATTTTGAATCCAAATAGGAGAGATCAACCTGATGATGACTTTTGAGTTGTCGTGGAGTGAGATCCCCTTTAAGCTATGTTTCTTCTTGCTCTCTGCTTAATAAACAAAATTATCCTTATTCACCAAGCGTTTGTTTCTAGTTAACTTGAATATTTTGAATACAGAGAAGCCAATTTGGAAAAGTGTTTGGACTAGACTCTTTCCCATTGCTTTTCATACACCTATTTATTTATATATTGTCATAAACAGGCCTCTTGATGATAGAGTATGACCTTTCCTCTTTAGGTTTTTATACTGCTTGACACTTAATTGCAGTCATGCTGATTTATGGGCTTTGATGTCTATTAATGGTTCCATATCACAGGCATATGTTGTATCGTGCAGAAGTGCCATTTTCTGTGATTACAGATTATATAAAAAATTGCTAAGTGCTTACTACTGACAGAAGGAATTCCTAAAATATTAAGGAGCTGAACTGGCAGTACTTTAGAGCTGACAACTGTTTTCATGTATGCTTGCCTCCCATCTGCTCAGCCTATGCACTTGTCAGTTACCTACTTAATACATATGACACGCTAAAGCAGCAATCTTATATGGATATCTTTTCAAGTAAGGACATACTTCTAATAGAACAGCACACAACTGTAGGATAAGTCCCAAGGTTACACACCTAAAAGCCTAACCAAGGAAGTAGTATATCGGCACAGGATTTTAGGGAAGAAGCAAAATGGAAAATGAGGGAGACAGTGGATGTGGTGCAAAAATAAGCTACACAGCCATAACTTTTGTCATTTGTTCAGAAGGCAGTACCATTGTACTAAGGCCCCGTTCCACACAGCTAAATAAAATCCCACATTATCTGCTTTGAATGGGGATATACAGCAATATGGACTCAGAGCCCTTCCACACAGAATATCAAGGCAGAAAATCCCACAATATCTGCTTTGAACTGTGTTATCTGAGTCCACATTCTGATATTGTGGCATTTTCTGCCTTGAAATCCTGGGATATAGGGATGTGTGGAAGGGCCTTCAGATAACCTGTTCAAAGCAGATATTGTGGGATATTCTGCCTTGATATTTTGGCTATGTGGAAGGGCCCTAAATAAAGTCTATTCCCAAATAACCATGACTAGGAATGTATGCTAATTATAATAGGAATGTGAATCTGTATTTAATCTAATTTACTTAAGTCCCTTCTACACTTCCATATAATCCAGACTATTAAAATGGATAATACAAATTATATGCTTTAAAGTGGATTATATGAGATCCAGATTATCTGTTTTGAACTAGATTATATGGCAGTGTAGACTCACACAATCCAGTTCAAATCAGGTAGTGTGGATTATCTGCTTTGATAATCTGGATTATATGACAGTGTAGACTCACACAATCCTGTTCAAAACAAAAGTAATGTGGATTATCTGCTTTGATAATCTGGATTATATGGCAGTGTAGACAGGGCCTGAGTCTACACTGACATATAATCCAGTTCAAAGCGGATAATCTGGATTTTATATGGCAGTGTAGAAGAGGCATTAGGGTCCTTCCACACAGCCATATAACTCAGAATATCAAGGCAGATAATCCACAATATCTGCTTTGAACTGGGTTATCTGAGTCCACACTATGATATATCCCAGTTCAAAGCAGATAATGTGGGATTATATACAGCTGTGTGGAAGGGGCCTATGTCACCATCACCACCCCTGCCAATGTCAGCTAGATTATTAGACCTATACTGGGAAGACCAAAACCGCATTATTTCATACTATTACATGGTATGCCTATTCAGCTATTAACTCACTGCATGTTTGACCTGGGAGTAATCAATAATGTAATTCATTCAGATGCTGTGGAAATGAAACAAGATTATTTCATGAGAGATATCCAGAATGTCCTGATTTGGAGATAGGAACACATAAGACCATTCAATCTCCAATTTCTCCAGCCAAATTTTAACAACTCACAGTATCTGGTGGAGAGAAGTTAAGGGAACATTTTAAAGTCGATCAGAGTAGACAGCACAGGGACTTCTGACCAAGTAAGGCTTGACTTTATATATATATATATATATACACATATAGGGTCTAATTAAGTGTTTTCCTAGGGGAGCAAGGGGATAAACACATGTGGGAATCAGACAACAGGACAGCTGAACTGACTCAATCCTCTTCCTGCAACCTCTGGCCATGAGCTAGCTAACTAGTGTTTAAATGCTTCAGGCAAACTTTTATGCACTTGGAGCCTAACACGGGTATCATCTTATAACTGAATGATCACTTATTACATGTAAAAAAAAGACATCTGTGCAGATTGTTTAAGGATTCTTGAAATCACAAAGTGCAGATGGCTGCGCTGAAAGGAAAGGAAAAGGAGCAGATGGCACTCTTCCAGCTGCTCTTACTTCATGCATCTGTACTCTCTCCCCACCAGCCACCCCAGCTCTCTTAGTCTTACCTCCAAGTAGCAGTGACACAATCAGATCTGACGCAGCCTTTAAGCTGCACATGTCTTCTGGCTTGGAACTATCCTGGAGCCTCTTCAAAATTTCTGCCACAGCCTCCTGAATACCAGCTTCAACCAACTGCAGTTTCAGGGTATCTGTGCAAGATATGATGAACAGGAAGTTTGAGAAACTACTCATTGAATCTTGGGGAATTGTTGAGTAAATTAATTTCTTTCCACATCCTGATTTGCATCCCAACCTAGTGGCACACAATGCAACAAGGGGAAAAAGTTTGTGTGGGCATGCCATCTTTACCAGTTTAGGGGATGGATTAATTAATTAATTAATTAATTTCATATACTTGTACCCCAACCTTCTCACCCCCGAGGGGGGGACTCAGAACGGCCTTACAGCAAACACATTCAGTGCCATCATAATGATAAGAACAATCAACAAATTCATTAAAACAAAACTTTAAATAAACACACCAATTAAAATCTGGGTCTGGGTCAATTCATTGTCACTTCGAAATTGCTTATGTCTTCTTCACACAAGCCGCTATTCAATGGTTAAATGCAAGGTCCCACAGCCAAGTCTTGAGTTTCCTTCTAAAGGACAGGAGGGAGGTGGCCAATCTGATGTCTTTGAGGAGGGAATCCCACTGCTGAGAAGGCCCTGTCTCTCATCACAACCAATCGCGTTTGCGATGGTGGTGGGATCGAGAGCAGGGCCTCTCCAGAACAGAACTCAAGAACGGAAAACGGAATGTTGGTGGGCAGGAAATGAGATGTAAAGATGGGCTCAAAGCCAACCTTAAAAACTCCGGCATAGACACTGAGAACTGGGAAGCCCTGGCCTTTGACTGCTCCAGCTGGAGGTCAGCTGTGACCAGCAGTGCTGCAGAATTTGAAGAGGCACTAATGGAGGGCGAAAGGGAGAAGCGTGCCAAGAAGAAGGCGCGTCAAACCAACCCTGACTGAGACCACCTTCCACCTGGAAACCAATGCCCTCACTGCGGAAGAAGATGCAGAGCAAGAATAGGGCTCCACAGCCACATACAGACCCACAAGAATACTGGAAGACAATCCTCCTCGGAAAATGAGGGATCGCCTAAGTAAGTAAAGTCTCCAGATGATCTTAAACTTCGTGATAATTCATAATAGGAGATACGTTCAGACATTTAAGAACTTCTTGTGCAATCTGCTTCCTCCACATAATGTCTTTTGGAGGCTTTGGAGTGGTACTTTTACAACTTCATTTTACATTCCTCAGCAGTGTATCACTTTCCCACCTTCCACCAATGAGCACATAGACAGGTGTACAACGGTAGAGCTTATTACCAAAAGTTACCAAATCCAATTAAAAAAATATCAATGAGTTATAGGTGACTAGGAGTAGAATATTGATGGCTAGGGATATAGGATGATTGCATTTTTCAGCAAAATAATGCATATCCTCAGCATGTCCCAGTGCTCAAACACTCTCTGCTTCATTTGGAAAAAAGCAGCACTCCCAGAGCTCAGCCAGTGTTGTATTTCAGTGTCAGTGTTGACTTTTGAAGAGAGGTGGCTGCCAAGGTAGCGGAAATTATCAACATTTTCTAATGTTACACCATTAAGCTGTATTTCTGGCATTGGAGAGGGATTGGCAGGTGACTGCTGGAAGAGCACTTTGGTTTTCTTTGGTTCAATGACAGGCTGAGCTTCTTGTATGCTTCTGCGAAGGTGTTTATAGTGGCTTGTAGGTCTTCTTCTGAATGTGCAAAGATGACATTGTCATCAGCATACTGGAGCTCTATAACAGATGTTGTTGTAACCTTGGTTTTGGTTTTGGCTTGGAATCCGTAGGGATACCAAGGTGCTTGTTTATAAAGCTATTGTCCTCCCAACCCTGCTATACATCTGAGAGATGTGGACTGTCTACAGACATCACATGCAACTCCTGGAACGATTCCATTAGCGCTGCTTCTGGAAAATCCTGCAAATCTCTTGGGAAGACAAACGGACAAATGTCAGCGTGCTGGAAGAAGCAAAGATCACCAGCACTGAAGTGATGGTCCTCCGCCAACAACTCCGCTGGACCGTCCACATTATCCGGATGCCCGACACCGTCTCCCAAAGCAGTTGCTCTACTCCAAACTCAAGAATGGAAAATAGAATGTTGGTGAGCAGGAAAAGAGATTTAAATATGGGTTCAAAGCCAACCTTAAAAATTCTGGCATAGACACTGTGAATTGGGAAGCCCTGGCCCTTGAGTGCTCCAGCTGGAGGTCCGCTGTGACCAGCAGTGCTGTAGAATTTGAAGAGGCACGAATGGAGGGTAAAAGAGAGAAACGTGCCAAGAGGAAGGTGTATCAAGCCCACACCAATGAGGACTGCCTCCCACCTGGAAACCAATGCCCTCACTGTGGGAGAAAATGCAGATCAAGAATAGCGCTCCACAGTCACCTATGGACCCACTCAGAGGCGGCCCTGGGTAATTTTCAATGGTAAGCAAACAGTATTTTCCCCCCGCCCCAACCAATCACTGAAATATATTTTCTGTTCGTCATGGGAGTTCTGTGTGCCATATTTGGTTCAATTCCATCATTGGTGGAGTTCAGAATGCTCTTTGATTGTAGGTGAACTATACATCCCAGTAACTACAACTCGCATATTTCAAGGTCTATTTTCCCCCAAGAGCGCCTCAAGAGCGCCCCTGAGCGAAATCAACTATACTGCAAATACTTACTTCGCATAATGGGTTAAGCTGCCCCTGGACCCACCAGTACACTGATCTTGGAGGACTATCCTACTGGGACAACGAGGGATCGCCTAAGTAAGTAAGTATCCTCAGCATGTTTTTTTCCCCAATTTCTGTAAAATTTGTTTGGATTTGGTACCTTTTGGAAGAATGCACAACAATTGTAACCACATCCTTTGATCATTCCCCATTTTTGCTCAAGTTCCTCTGCTTCCACCACTTTAGCTACCCTCCTAAGACTGAAATATCACTGAACACAATTGCATATGTCTTACACAGCACAAGACACAATTAAGAAAACATGACCTTTTTCTTCTATCTGTAGTGTTGTGGGAGATGATTAACTATGGTGCAGTATGCATATGGATATTTGAGACCGCACAGATGGGCCTAATTGCCTCTGCTACACAGGGGATCTTACCTATCTCTTCCGCTGACTGATGAATTGCAAAAATGGAGCTCATCCTGACCACATGATGCCAGGACTATGAAGTCCACCTCTTCTTAATCTGCAGATGAGGCATTTGCACTGAAAGCTCAATATACTCTTAGCTTGCAGAAGTGGAGTGCAGCTGCTCAGCCCTGGTCCTAATATATCATTGATTTTTTAAATAAAGAGGATAAATAACTTTTCGCCTTTGTCCAGATCTGGGTTGTGATGGCTTGGCACCTCAAGCTCCATGGCAGGTTGTGATTGTAAATGGAATTTTTAAACGCACCATGGCTATGTGAGGCTGAAACATACAGAAATTTATTTGGGTTGTTGTAGGTTTTTCCGGGCTATATGGCCATGTTCTGGAGGCAATTTTTCTCCTGACGTTTCACCTGCATCTATGGCAAGCATCCTCGGAGGTAGTGAGGTCTGTTGGAAGTAGGAAAAATGGGTTTTTATTTATTTATTTATTTATTTATTTACAATATTTCAATTCCGCCTTTCTCAAATCTGAAGGCGACTCAAGGCGGCTTGGACAGAATTAGTTGCCTTGTCTATGCCTCTGCTTCAGATCTTAGAAATGTTGTGAATTGATAGTTGGTTGGTATAATCATTACCATCATTTCTAATGTTCCCACTACAAGTGAATGGAGCTATGGTGCCAACTATTAGCTTTCTAACAGGAGCTGCGATAGCTCAGTGGGTTAAACCGCAAGCTGCAGGAAATCTGATGACTCCGGAGGGTTAGCAGTTCGAAGCCGCAAGTTGGGGTGAGCTCCTGGCTTTCAGCCCTAGCTTCTGCCTACCTAGCAGTTTGAAAGCATGTAATGCAAGTAGACAGGCCTGTAGTTGGGGGGGGGGGGGTGGGGGTTCAAACCCCCCCTGAAATTTTTCAGGTTAAAAAAAATAAACCTGGTTTACTCATGAATTTTAACTGGTTAACCAAATCCCCATGCTAAGTCTATGAGATGCAAAAAATTAAGAGTCCCTCCAGAACTGCAAGCACTATCTCAAGCAAATATTGACAATTTATTCACACTGTCATTACTTGCAGCAATAGCCGATGTAGTGAAGCAACCAAGTTGGGGGGGGGGGGGGGGTTGAATGCTCTCATTAAGGAGGCCAGACTTGGTGGAGGGTGGAGCTGCAGGCTATTGAAGGCTGCTCTGCCCCCTGCTGTGCTCTTTGCTTTAGCGTGAGCTAGGAGGCAGGTTTCACCTCCCCCCCCCCAAATTTTCAACCCTCCCTGAAATTTTTTTCTGGCTACGGCCCTGCAAGTAGATCAATAGGTACTGCCTCAGTGGGGAGGTAGAAGGGTGCCCTATGCAGACATGCCAGCAACAATCAGAGAAGTATATAGACAACAAGCTCCTTGGCATGGAAAAATGAGCTCCTCCCCATGGCTGGAGTTGAGTATCGCCTCTACAGGCTGGAGAGGGAAAGGGGAAGGCCTTTATCTCTGTCTGTGTATTTTATCTTATTGTTCACTATGTTAAAAGTTTTGAATACTTGCCTTATATATGTAAACTGTAATCTGCTCTGAGTCCCTCCGGGGGGATAGGACGGAGAATAAATAAAGCCTATTATTATTAAAGTGTATTAATATATGGTTAATAATAATAATAATAAATATATTGAAAATATTGTTTCAGTTAATGTGTCTAGCTTTAAACATTCAAGAGTCTAGAATATTTAAAGCTGTTCAGTAAGATAAATTATACACAATGTCCTGATTTGCACCAACAGTCTAGAATCTGGACAGTTGGTGCAGATCAGGACATAGTGTTACCTTTTAAATCTGAATGAACACAGAGAAGCTTTGAGGGGTGGTTGGTTGGTTGAAAACAAAATAGTTGGAATTGCAGACATGAATAACTGTGACATTTCCCTTAAGTGGTTTCATTAATCTTAATTTGGTTAATTGAAGTTGATCATGCTGCATTAATTAACCACGGATGTCTACTGTGATCTAATCAAAACAAAGGCTTTGGGAGCCTTTAAAATATAATGTGGGTAACTAATGGCATTCAGTGGTCCAAATATCCAAAGAAATATGACAGTCCTGTAGAGTGCTTGTTTTTTTATCATTCCTCTCCCACTTGATGGCCATGGCAGCTTCATATGTCACATTTTCCGCCTGCAGTCACACACTGTACATCAGGGCTTAAGCAACTTAGCTATGGAATCATGGGCACCACCACTATTTGGCAGAGAAGGATAAGGCATGGCAGTTAAAGTAGTGTAAACTTACATTAATTCTGCAGTGTAGATCCACCCTATTTTATATTAGCTGAGTAGTGGTGAACTTGTGCTTAAATAGTTAAACGGAATTTGTGGATACTCCACCACAGACATCAGAAGAGCTGCAAGACTGAGAGCCAGCCACGAGAGTAAAGACAAAGAGCCATCCAGAGGAAAAGTGTTCTTGCCATACATCAAGGGAACCCCTGACCGCATAGGGAAGCTGATGAGGAAACACAACATACAAACAATCTACAGACCCACCAAGAAAATCCAACAAATGCTACATTCAGAAAAGGACAAGAGGGATCCTCTCACCTCTGCAGGAGTCTACTGTATACCATGCAGCTGTGGACAAGTCTACATAGGAACCACCGAACACAGTGCCCAAAAAAGAATCAAGGAACATGAAAGGCACTGCAGACTACTTCAACCTGAGAAGTCAGCCATAGCAGAGCACCTAATGAACCAACCTGGACATAGCATATTATTTGAGAACACAGAAATGCTGGACCACTCTAACAATTACCATGTCAGGCTATACAGAGAAGCCATTGAAATCCACAAGCGTGTGGGCAATTTCAACAGAACTTCTAGAACATGGCCATATAGCCTGAAAAACCTACAACAACCCAATTTTTGGCTCTTTAAAAGTTAGTAATTATTCTTGAGGCTAGTAATTAGGTGGCAAGGCAATCAGGTAACAAGGAAAAATGTTTACTATTTCAAGAAATTGAGGACAAAAGAGGAGGAAGATTCCTTGATGTTACTACAGTACCATTGCTCATTGGAGGGAAAGATACTAGAGACAAAGTTGAAGTACTTTGGCCACATCATGAGGAGACAGGAAAGCCTAGAGAAGACAATTATGCTGGGGAAAGTGGAAGGCAAAAGGAAGAGGGGCCGACCAAGGGCAAGATGGATGGATGGCATCCTTGAAGTGACTGGACTGACCTTGAGGGAGCTGGGGGTGGTAACGGCCGACAGGGAGCTCTGGCGTGGGCTGGTCCATGAGGTCACGAAGAGTCGGAGACGACTGAACGAATGAACAACAACAACACTACAGTACCTGTGCAGGTACAACTGTACCAGGAGCTCCAATTTTGTTTGCTTTGCATTGAATGTTTGTTGTAGTCCTAAGTTTCAGGGACTCTGCAGATAGGTGGCTTCTTTTGGCTGCAATCATAGGGCAAGCCACCTGTCAATTATCGTTAGGTTCCCTGGTCCCGCCCCCTTTTTGGGTTTTAGAGGGAATAGGAGCCAATTTGGGTCCAGTTCACACAGAGAAGCCTTTCACAGGACATAATACCAAGAGCTCCTGTAGAAAGCTTCGTCTTCTACAGCTTGGCCGGGAGATATACAGCCTTTCAGCTCCCTTGCTGAGGGAATCTGGTCTCACAGCACTTCAGCCAGCCATCACTGAAACCTGAACTCCTTCTTTTTTCCCTTGGAAGTCTACAAAGCTCTGCTTGGTAAGGGTCACTCACGGAAGCCAGAAGCAGTTGGTACCGGGTGTAGGGACTCCACGCCAACAGAGGCAAAGACAGACTGCCCAGATTAGAAGCTAAGGATTTCCCCATTAGTTGAAATTCAGTTGTGAAGATAGTGCCTGTTCCCAGTGGACAAGATCGAGAGAGCCAATAGACTATTAAGAAAGCCTTAAAGTACCTGTTTGTTTTCAATAATAAAGAACTTTGTTAAACCTTTGAGCAATCTAAAGACTCTGTTTTAAGGAAATCCAAAGGCCTTTAATCTGAGGCAGCCCCAGCGTCCCGTTGGGCACACGGAATTTATGTCCTGTCTACATATGTACAGGCCCAGCGTGCGACAGCACAGTACCCCTAACACTGTCTCCATTGTGTGGAGGTATATCAGTAGTTGCAATGAGGGGAGCATCCAATGTTCTCATTTACAAAGGAGAACAAAGGCTGCCTTGCTTCCAGGAAGGAGAAGGAAATAAAGCTTGAGAGGAGCATTCTACAGATCAAGTGAGCATATTAACATAATGAGTCAATGTCAAGGGAGAGAAGCATGAGTACATCTGGTTGTTTGTCTATTTCTTCCCTCCCTAGCAGGTTTCCAAAAGGATACAGGCAGAAGCTAGCGTTCCGACCTATACTTACAATGCTTTTAAACAGATTAACATAGCTTTCTGGGTAATGAGCTGAAGAAAGCTGCTCTTAAATTTCAGGTGACTGGATTTTTTAAATGGCCTGCTTCAAAATGCTTGCTTTTTATGTATCTAAGGAAGCAAATTTTGCAAGCTTGGGCAGTTGTATGGAATTAAAACATACAAAAAACCCACCAGCAATCTCACCGAAAGTTTAGTGCACTTACCATTCTCTGCCAGCGTCTGTAGAACCTCAAGGATGATTTCAACCTTCTCATGATGATTTGTTGTTTGCAGCTGATGTACCAAATGTTCTGCAACTCTGGTCTTGGTAAGGTCCTCTTTGGCAGCATCTGTATAACCAAGGTTGAATATGTATGAATTTGTATGTTGTAAGAGCAGCTGCTACAGCCCCTTCCACTGCCCTTGAATACTTTTCCTCTCAATTATTGTTTGAACTTTAGGAACGGAAGAGAGAGGTGAACAACTTCTCTGGCGCTGACGCCAGAGCTGATGTTGAGTGAATATATGTATATGTACAAACCTGATACAAATTACCAGGACCCAACTATGTGGCATATATTTATATTTCTCAGTACTATAAATATTTGCTAATTTGAGTTTTTGACACCCATTTTTTTTAAAAAAAAAACTGATATAAAAACATTCTGTCAATTATTGGTCTCTAGTCAACCATAGAATTACTAATTGCATATCAAGAATAGGACATATAATATAATATAATATAATATAATATAATATAATATAATGCATATGCAGTTCTGGATAACAGCTTGAGAACTTCTGCCTTGACACATTTTCAAGTGTTTTTAGCCAGTCTACCATCATTAAGGGGCCTATTTTTTTCACCATGGTCTAAACCAGTGGTTATCAACCTGCGACTCCTTGGGTGTTTTGGCCTACAACTCCCAGAAATCCCATCCAATTTACCAGCTGTTAGGATTTCTGGGAGTTGAAGGCCAAAATATCTGGGCACCCACAGGTTGAGAACCACTGGTCTAAACTTTCTACCAATGGTTGGGATTTCTGGGAGTTCAAGTCCAAAACATCTGTAGGGCCAGAGTTTGCCCATGCTTGGTCTAAATCAGAGTTCCTGAAACCGTGCTCCCCCAGATATTTTGGACTTCAGCTCCCACAATTTTTAACAGCTGGTTGGGATTTCTAGGAGGTGAAGTCCAAAACACCTGGAAGAGCACAGTTCGAGAAACACTGATCTAAACCGTCTATCAGTGGCCTTGACAGAAAGGGAGAAGAGCTTTTAACATAGCCTTTCATCACAGATATGAGAAGACAAATGGGGATCTTGAGTATGAAATTTGGGAGATACAATGCTCTCTTCTTAGGTCTATGCCAGTGCTTCTCAACCTGTGGGTCCCCAGATGTTTTGGCCGTCAACTCCCAGAAATCCTAACAGCTGGTAAACTGGCTAGGATTTCTGGGAGTTGTAGGCCAAAACACCTGGGGACCCACAGGTTGAGAAGCACTGGTCTATGCCATAATAAGTAATTCTCTGTCTTAGTCCTTGTAAGAAAGGATTGACTATTGTTCTACTGCTACGTGTTGTAAGGGAACTGTTTTATTAGAAGACATTGAGCTTCTTGAAATGAGGTTGGATTTCTCCTCTGTTTTCAAATACAGAAGATGAAAGGATTGCCACTTGAATTTTAATAGTGGTGGTGAGATATCATCTGCACCGTACCCGAAGCAGCAGGGAAAGACACTCCTGCCACACTCACACCTCAACTCCAAAAAGCAGAGCGGTTGTACCAGCCCGTATAAGGCTTATTTGAACATGGTGAATGGGAAAGGGTGGCTAAATCATGAGTTTTGATTATCAGGAAGGTCATACCAAGTGCCATTAAGGTGATGGGATGAGGTGCAATATAGCTGGAATGAGGCACCCAAATCTCACCCATGTCAAGTACACATGACATGACATGGCATGTGTTTACTTCGATCTTGAACAACATTTTGGCCAAATGTTCAGTAGAGTTGGTAGAGTCAGGCTTCTCCTTCTCGAATGTGTGTGTATGCCAGAAATTTTTGTCTTCTAAGAACATGGAACAGATAGGATATACAAGAAGAACACCTATGGATCCTGCTTCAGCTCCACCATGTCCCCTTTGAGACAGTCATTGTCATGCTGTCATTAACAATAGGGTCAGCCTTATAAAGAGAGAACTGTTTTCTGAATTACATAAAATGTGAAGAATAGAAGTACCATGTTTTGGAATCAAAGCAAGGTTCATTCGGTCCACATTCCAGTTTTAGCCGTATATATTTTGATAATACTGTGAGTTTACTAAAGGGTTGTTATTTAGCTGGTGATTTAGGCTAGCGAATGCACTGATAATAAGAAAGGATTTGTGGTTAAAACAACTGGAACAAACCAAATTGCCCACTCATATACTGGTAGATCATGCTTTTCAATAAAAGCAAATGTTGTTGAGGCACCTGTGTGAAAGTTTATGTTCTTGTAGAGAAGGTAATTTTATTTTATTTTATTGTTCTCTGTTTTTATTGTATTTTATAATTGCATTGAGTATTATTACTTTTGACTTCTGTCAGCTGTTGTGTTGAGAAATCACTAGAAGGGCAGGATATTGAATCTTTGTCTAAAGTAAAGCAAATATAGCAATAGGAAACAAACACTGTATAGAGTGTGATAACATATGGATATAGCTCTCTGTCTGTTACTGGAAAATTTCTTTTGTTCCACAGATGATTTTTGTTTACTCTGATCCTGTGTTGCTCAGTGTTGATGAGTGGGTGGTTTGATGCTTAAAGCTACATCTTTGTCAGGTTAAACAAATACTGACATCAAACAACTTGCAACTGAAGATAGTGGAATATTCACCAAGATCTGCAAGATTGGATAAGGCCAGCAGGTTGACACGGACAAGGGGTTCATTATCTGGATATTCTGACATTATCCTAACCAGGGAGTTGATCACTTCTGCTCTCACCAGCTGCTCCTGGAGATCATCTGAAACAAAGGAACAGACAATTTGAACTTAGGGAAGACTTTTTAGCACACATCTACACTATAGAATTAATGCAGTCTAATTGACATGACTGAATTATTATGAAAATTGTCATTTTATAAGAGTGCTAGTGCCTCAGCAAACTACAGATCCCAGGATTCCATAGTATTCAGCTCATTAACAAGAAATGGAAACACTCAAAATTGCATGATGTCACTCCATACTCCAAACAATTTTGCAAGTGGTTGTTAGGTTATTGTTTTCTGTACATGGAAGACCCCATTTTTAGGTGGCAGGAAGTGCTTTTTTACGGTGTTGACGCAGTGTGATAAGCCAAAAGCACTGCTGCAGTGAGTTTGGGAGAATGCATATTGTTTTGGGCATATTGTGGGTATCATTTTCCAATGCTTCAACCCCCCATCCCCAACCTGCTCTCCAGTCCACTTCTTCAAATAACCAGATAAGACCCCCAGGTACATATGCATAACTTCCCACTTTCACATTGTCAATTTTCTTCAAAAAAATGTGTTCAATTCCAGGTAACTGTGCAATTTTGCAGATGATGCCTGCCGCTTATGGCAACCATAATAGTAACAACTAGTTCCCATATGTAGGACTTGGAACTATAACACAACAAATTGCTGTTAAAACTAACTTCCCAAGTACTGCTGGCTCCCGATAGTTGGAAAACAGTCAAGAATAAATATATAAATAGAGGAGTGGTACAAGGAAGTATGGAAATTGGCAATAAATGATAAGCTGACATGTATTTTAAAAGTTGTGCTGTCGCACGCTGGGCCTGAAATAATGTCTGTTTACAGGATGTGCTCTCTGTATGCCCAATGGGATGCCGGGGTGCCTCAGCTGCAGGGCTCTTTAGATTTCCCAACACAAAGATCTATTGAGGCTCAAAATCAGTTCAACAAAGTTCTTTATTTGGGCTTAAATCTTCAAACAAATGAATTAAATGCTTTATAAACTTGGAAAACTGGTAGCTTCCTCAATCTGCTATCAAGGGGCAGGCAACTGGTGGTAAACTGTTCCTTTCTTCCTTAAGGAAATCCTTTGACCCCTTGCTGGGCAATCTCTCTTTACCTTGTTGGCGTGAGGCCCCTACTCCCGACTCCAAGCTGCTTTATGGATAGCCTGAGTGATCTTACCAGGCAAGGTTCCTGTAGATCTGCCAAGCTGGAAGGTGTCCTTTAGTTTCTCCATGAAGGCTGTAGGAACTATTTCTTTACTTCCCAGCAGAGCTGTGGATCTATTTCTTTAATCCCCAGCAAAAGCTGTGAGAAGTGAAGCCTTTGTGCAGGTGGGAGAGAGAGACGCACACATCCTGCTGTTAGGCTCCAAAACAGTGAGACTGAACAAAGGTCCTCCTTTGCCTCCAAAACCCTGGGAAAAGGGGTGGGTCTAAAGATTCTAACGATGATTGCCAAGTTGTTGGCCCTATGATTGCAACCTGAGGGAAGCTACCTTATTGCAAAATGCGTGGCTTAAATAGATTCATGCAAACTAGCAATGCAAGAAAAGGAATTCAAATCTCCTGGCACTGTCGTTCCAGCACAAAAGAGGTATATGGAAACAAAGTGATTTTGATGATGTATGGAGAACATTTATTGAAAAAGGATTTAAAAAGAAAGAAGGAAAGTTACCTCCACAAGAAGAACTGAAAATTTGGACAGATGATATGTAAAAGCTGTGGCTTGGGCGGGGAGGAACACAGTGGTGAGAGATTGATAATATGTACAAGCAAAAATAATAATAACAGTAATGCTAAAAGTTAAAGTATGATAGGCTGTATTGAATAATATGAATCTGCTGTAAAATAAACAATGTACAACAAATGTATTGAATTATGATAAAATAATAAAAAATATTTTAAAAAGAGGAAGGAATGCTCACTGAACTGAGATCTGAAATCTGCATGAAAGTCCTCATGGATTCATTGACCACAGTAACATCGTAATTGTGTTTGGGTGAATGCTACTATTGTAAGATCAAGCCTAAATTTCACAATCAGCCATCATAAACTAAGCAGCAACAAGTAAAATGGAACAGATAAAACAAGTTCAAACAGATTGAAGTATTAATACTTAATTATTTTTACAAAGAAAATAACTGCTCCAGCAAATGTTCGTCTTTCCCATTGACACAAGGTCTCAACTACTTACTGTTATCATAGCAAATACGGCCAATGGCCCTGCCCACATGAAGCAACATCTCTTGATCTGTGCTGTCCAGGAGTGGGATCAAGACTGGTACCAAACCAGCATCTATACAGGGGATCTTCATTTCCTCTACATGGAGAGAAGAGAGATCATCTGTTCACCTCCTTTTGATATGCAGTGTCATAACTCACACTTCAGACTCAAATGATTCAGATAGAGATGAGGAGGCAGGTTGCCAGGAATCTGCTTTTCCTGATAATGATCTTTCTGAGGCTGAGAAGCGGGTGGTGGTGAGACAGAGGATGGTCCTACTCCTCAGCAGGAGTATGATTTATGACTCTGTTTTACTTCTGACTGGTTTTATTTATCTCTACTACTGACTCACTTAATAACTTTTGTACTGGCTGACACTCACTTTATTGCTTCTCCTTTCATCCTGTTGGATACCCTGTGACCGATTTAACTCCTCAACGACTTTTACACTCCATCCACTTGGTTCCTGGGTCACTTGCTGACTGGAACATAGGACATGCAGGCCAGCATTGTAATGTGCAAAAAATGAGCTATTAATTTTGAGTACAGAGAAAGTGGAGCCATTTAAACTAGGGCAGGTGTTCTAAATTTAGACTCATTCAGATGGCAATGTTTGGATATGCTGAAAGGAAAACTGCTAGCACTTCAGTTTATAATATTTTAAGATGAAAAGCAGGTCAGTTTTTTTGTACACTATTAGGGTTTTGAAACTCATGTTCTGTTCATTAATGCATGTTAAAAGAATGATTAATGTCCCACAAAATCCAATATGTAATTAATCTGGGGAAACTGGATTAACTATCCAGCCTTTTCATGGACGTTTTTAAATTAATCTCTCTGGTTGAGTACAAATCCGGCTAGTCCCCTTTGTATACCCATTGACAGTACCAAACAGCCACTTTTGGGGTTGAAGAGGGGAGAAGGCTTTAAATTATTGAATTGTCAGTAACTATTAACATGCTTAAAGGCTAAAGGTTCCCCCCGGATTTTGTTTGCCTCACATCCAAATTGAGTTCTCTGGGTTGCTCCCCATCCCAAGTACTGTGAATTGGGATGAGGGAAAGGGATGTGTTTGGACACTGCAGATGGACTTTCCTGGCTTTGGAGCTCTTTTCAGTTTTTAAAGAACTATATCACATGATAGATGACACTTTGTGGAGTTTACGGACTTCCAGCAGGTCTGGAAATAGGAATTAGCTTCAAAGTTTAAGTGATAACAAACTGATCTAGCTGACAGTCACTCTATAGCAGGCATGGGCAAACTTTGGTTCTTCAGGGATTTTGGATTTAAACTCCCACAATTCCTAACAACTGATAGACTGTTAGATATTGCAGGAGTTGAAGTCCAAAACACCTGAAGCGTCAAAGTTTATACATGTTTATCCTCTATAATATACCCTCCATTTTACATGGGACACATGTGGCTGAGCCACATCAGCCTTTAGTCAAAAGCACTGAGCCAGGCAACAAGAGGTAAATGTTATTAATGAAGAACACACAAAACTATTGTTTTACACAGAAAAATCCCATGCCTCTTATTTTCCTTTCTCCCTGCTGAATTCGCTGAGTGCAAACTACTTTGATACTTTGAATTCAATTTGCAGCCACTGAAGAAAGCTGAAGACAAATGGGGAAAGTGGAAAGAGGAGAGAAAGTGGTAATTCAGAAAGTGGGGTACCAGAGGACTTATCTAAAGACCACATTGTTGAGGGGCAGTAGGATGATTTACCAGCCTCTGTGGTGAACCTGAGGGGCAGGGGAGCAATCCCTGTGCCCCGCCTCTCCCGCTTTGCACTTTCCACAGGAGGAAATGTCACCACCAGACTTCCTTACATTGTTTTTGATGCAACATGGGAAGCCTCCCATGTTGCCGACACCACAATGCTTGTACCTCTCTTCTGGCACAGTACATGTTTTGTAGGATGGGCAATTTTGACCATCTGATGAAGTCCTTAAGCTGTTCTTGCCAAACCAGGACACTTGGAGGGAATGTTGTAGATGTCAAGGAACCCCAACCAACCCTGTAAGTTTCTTAAATGCCATGAAACCTACCATTTTTAGCTATCTCTGCCAGCACCTGGGCTGTCTTTACTGCACAAAGTGGGTCACTTTGGAGGAGCCTTGCTAATGTTCGCAAAATATCACTTTCAGTTAGGAGACTGCAGGTTCTGTGCTCTGCAATGATGAAGAAGACATTCAGGTTAGAAGTCAGTAGAAAGGAGATTCTCAAAAATATGAAAGAGTTAACAAGTCACAGTCCAGAAGAAGGCTTGTCAGTTGGTGAACCTATCACTGGCTCTCTGCTTCCCCTGGCCAAAGGAGACATATACTAGTGGATTTTTTCCCTGGTACTAGTCACTTACCATTGTCATCTAGGTCTCTTCAATGCAGACACTAGCTCTTCCATTCTGATTGTAAAGTGTTTTTAATATATAATTCAGAATAGGATTCCTTCCTTCTTCCTCAACAAGTTTGTTGGGTGTGCAGCCGGCCATTGTGATATATTGCTTACATGTAACTCTCTACAAGACCCATGGAAACTCTTAAAATACCCTTCCAACATTTGACAGAGGATTTTTGAACAATAACCTCTACTGGGACTCACTGAGCACTGATTCCCCATGGATTATCCAAGGGGTAGAGGAAAATAAGGTATCAAGTAAGTTTTCAATTACTCAACTGCTCCCAAGAAAAGTGACATTGAAGAACTGGATAGGCATGTCCCAGGGGAAACATGCCCCAGTAACAAATATAGCTGCCAGAACATTTCCTGTCCAACTTTTCCTTTTTTTGGAAAGCTGGAAGATACTAAACAAGCCTTCCAGTCCTATAATGGTCTCTTCTAGGTTAGAGTGTATAACACAATTGAAATATTGGAACTAATCATGTTCTTTCAAGATGAGATTTTTTTTCTGCCCCCTGATTACTGCATTATTTTGGTTTTGTAAGTATTTCTGATCCTATGACTGTTTTAGATGTTTCCCCAATACCAAAACTTGTCAAAAAACCCTATGTAAACAAGACAGAGAAAACACAGGAGCAAACTTTCACCATGACCTGGGTGACCCAGTCCACTGACAACTTTCTGAACTCATCTGGGGGAGTTTGATATATCCTTATCCAGTAAATAAATGTTTCTGAGATACTTACAAGGGAGATGTACATGCCTCATAGGTCTAAAGCCATAGCTTTATTATTTTTTAACTGGCACTGTCATGCAATTTAAAATGAAAAAAAAAAACCCTGTTTACTTCTGTACTTAGTGTTCTGCATTTATCAATTTTTTCTGCAAGGTTTGTTAATGGCCTTTGATGACAATTTGATAAAATATTTAAAATTGCTGACTATGACTGGAGATACCACAGGTTCAAATCTTTCACTTAGCTAAAGCTCACTGAATTTTCATAGACAAATTTATTCTCCTATACTTTCAACAGAACTGATATCATGTTATAAGGTTACAAAATGAGAGGAAATTTTAAAACTTTAAGTCTCTTAGAAATAAAATGGCATATGAATATAGCAGATACATCCACATAGTACTATTCTTTCGGTTAGGATCTATGTCTTTTTCTCAAGAAACACACAGGAAGTAAAAATAGTTAATGAGAAAAGAACTCCTGAATTTTACCGGGTATGCCCTCAGAACAAATGAGTGAATTCCTACATGCTCATGTGCTTATGTGGGATCTTATAAATTTGGTGGAAAAGTGTCAAGAAAATTAGAGTTAAAAACCCATTGATATAAAAGTCATCTAAAAGGGAATTTTACTGAACATGTAACAATCAATGTACTACAACTGGATTGAGGATCAGCAAATATTATGGTGGAAAGATAATGAAAAGTACATGTATTATAGCGAACATCTAAAACTAAAAGTTTGGAATTAAAAGCAGTTTGAAGCTGTCGGGGCTGCTAATAGTAGAGCATTGTGATAGAAAGAGGTTCAAAAGGAAGGGCAATATAATGCTTTCCCTAACACACACACACAAACCCCATAAAAGAGAGGATAATTTTGCAGAACTGCAATGTGTAAGGAAAATACTTCCAAAAAAGATAGATGTAAGAGACTGAAGATTATAGTCTCACTGGGTTTGTAATCAGCTAGGGAGCTCTTCTGTCTGGAACAGTTCAAGGAAAGGACAAGCTAACCAAGATCCTTTGAATACTTGAGAAAGAGAAATAAATCAAGGAGATTATCTGGCCAAACTCCAAGATTCTGGGGATCCAGAAGGGTACATTCAGCAAGTTTAGAGAGTAATTTTCAACAAGGGGGCTCCAGGAAGAGCAGATCACCTGGGTTCTTATTTTAGTACACCTCACTCCAGAATGGATTGTTGTGTACTGGAATTTACTTTAAAGCATTTCAGGGTTAAGCATGATATCAGAATTTCTCTAAACCAAAAAGGCTTACAGGGCTCTTCCAGACAGGCCCTATGTTCCAGAATCTGATCCCAGGTTTTCTGTTTATTCCAGATTGTCTGGCAATGGAGACTCATATAATCCAGTTTAATGCAGTAAATGTGGGATCAGATCTTGGCATATAGGGACTCTCTGGAAGGGCCCTCAAAGAGGGAACTAGAGAGCGTGTGGCGTTCGGACCCAAGCGAGTCAAATCGAGCACGGTTTGTGTCCTTTTTAAGGGCATATGCCGCGGCAATAAAAGCCGCAAAGAAATCTTTCTTTGCGGCTACTATTGCGTCTGCAAAGAACCGTCCGGCGGAGTTGTTTCGGATTGTCAGAGGTCTTTTAACTCCCGCCACCTCAGGTGGGAGCCCTGACAATTCGGTCACGCGCTGTGAAGCATTTGCTCGGTTCTTCGCAGACAAAGTCGCTTTGATCCGTTCTGAGCTGGACACCATGTTAAATGCAGTCTCAGAGGATGTGACACGAGCACCTGCTTGTCCTATTTTGATGGATTCTTTTCAGTTTGTGAAACCCGAGGATGTGGACAAGATACTTGGAGGAATGAGGCCCACCACGTCCATCCTAGACTCCTGCCCATCCTGGCTTCTGAAGGAGGCCAGAGGGGGATTGGCTGAGTGGGTAACGGTGGTGGTTAACGCCTCCCTTCGGGAAGGCAAGATTCCAGCGAGCTTAAAACAAGCTATTATAAAACCGCTGTTGAAGAAACCATCACTGGACCCCACTAAATTTGACAACTTTCGGCCTGTTTCCAATCTCCCCTTTTTGGGCAAAGTCATGGAAAGCGTGGTGGCCTCACAACTCCAGGTATTCTTGAGAGACACGGATATTCTGGATCCGGCACAGTCTGGTTTCAGACCGGGACATGGTACCGAGACGGTCTTGGTCGCCTTAGTGGATGATCTACGCCGGGAGCTAGACAGGGGGAGTGTGTCCCTGTTGGTGCTCCTGGATCTCTCAGCGGCCTTCGATACCGTCGACCACGGTATCCTTCTGAGGCGCCTTGCGGAGATGGGTCTTGGGGGCACTGCTCTGCAGTGGCTCCACTCATTTCTGGAGGGTCGTACACAGAAGGTGTTATTGGGGGACTCCTGTTCAACACCACAGCCTTTGACCTGTGGCGTTCCACAGGGTTCTATACTGTCCCCCATGCTGTTTAATATCTACATGAAGCCGCTGGGTGAGATCATCCGGAGTTTCGGGGTGCGGTGTCATCTGTACGCAGATGATGTCCAACTCTGTCACTCCTTCCCACCTGCTACTAAGGAGGCTGTCGAAGTCCTGAACCGGTGCCTGGCCGCTGTAATGGTCTGGATGAGGGCGAACAAACTGAAATTAAATCCAGACAAGACAGAGGTACTCCTGGTCAGTCGCAAGGCCGAACAGGGTATAGGGTTACAGCCTGTGCTGGACGGGGTCGCACTCCCCTTGAAGGCGCAGGTTCGCAGCTTGGGTGTGACCCTGGATTCATCTTTGAGCCTGGATCCCCAGGTTTCAGGGGTGACCAGGGGAGCATTTGCACAGCTTAGGCTCGTGCGCCAGCTGCGCCCGTATCTTGGGAAGTCTGACTTGGCCACGGTGGTACACGCTCTGGTCACATCCCGCCTTGACTACTGCAACGCTCTCTACGTGGGGCTGCCCTTGAAGACGGCCCGGAAGCTTCAGCTAGTCCAGCGCGCGGCAGCCATGTTACTAACGGGAGCAGGACGCAGGGAGCATACAACGCCCTTGTTGTCCCAACTCCATTGGCTGCCGATCTGCTACCGGGCCCAATTTAAGGTGCTGGTGTTATCCTACAAAGCCCTAAACGGTTCCGGCCCAAAATACCTATCGGACCGCATCTCGGCCTATGAGCCCACGAGGGCCTTAAGATCGTCTGGGGAGGCCCTTCTCTCAATCCCGCCTGCCTCACAGGCACGTCTGGCGGGGACGAGGGAAAGGGCCTTCTCGGTGGTGGCCCCCCGGCTGTGGAACACCCTCCCTGTTGACATCAGACAGGCGCCCTCCCTTATGGCTTTCCGTAAGAGCCTAAAGACCTGGCTATTTGAAAAGGCATTTAATTGAGCGCTATACAAACTGGTAATGACAAGTGGAACGGAATACGGACTATGAGATTGGCTACGATTCTATGTGTGACGATGCGGATTAGCTTAGTGTAAATTAGTTTTAGTGTGTATTATTGAAATGTTGATGTTGTTGTGCCTTACTGTATACTGTTTTTTATATGTTGTACACCGCCGCGAGTCGCCCTAGGGCTGAGAGCGGCGGTTAACAAATGCAAGAAATAAATAAATAAATAAATAAATAAATAAATAATCACATTACTGGATAGTTGAGTTAGCCAAAAGTGGTAATGACTCAGAAAAGCACCCATACAAAAAAGGCATTTAAGAAGTTTAAGGATCTCTTCACATGGGACATTTTTGCCCTGTTTTGCCACTTTGTTTTGTTGTAAGGACAGAGCCTACTGTGCACTATCACATGACACACGCAAGCCCTGCCCAGATTCCTCCCAAAGTGGGATGGAAGCGCCTTTCAGGAAAGTGTAGTTTGGGTAGTTCTGGGGAGGAACTTGTAGTTTGGGTAGTTCTGACAGTGCTACTCTCACTTTCCCCCACATGATGAGGGAAAGGGTGGTAGGGCACAACAGTGCGTTGCTGTCCTTTCTCCCATCTGATGGGTGCCAACGCTGCATCTTTGTGTCTTGTGCCGTCACACCCAGACGCTGTAACGTTAAAAATAAGATGTG